CTTGAAAAAGATCCGGATTGGTGCAGTTTGTGGGTTAGATCGAAGTTTCTGAAATTCACGTTGGGTCGGGCACTTCGGTTAACTGAATTTGTGTTGTCCCCGTGCTTAGATCGCATTCGGTAAATATTCTGGTACTCCAGTTGGTTTTTTCAGTTATGTTAGTTGCAGTTGCCTTGTTAGTAATCAGGCGCGAGGTCCGGCAGCAAGAGCAGCTACGGAGAGCGCGCTGCGGTAATATTTATCTCCTCTGTGTGTTAGTTGGTTGGCGTTGGATCCGTTACTCACGGTGGTTGCGTTCGTTATGCTGCGGCTGCGGCTGTGGTACTGGTTCCCCTAGGGAAAGTGGAGGAGTTTTTGAGGCATTCAGGACCAGTTTGGGGGTTAGTTGGTTGGTTGGTCAGGGATTTTGCGATGGTGGTGGTGGTGGTGCTAGCTTTCCTGGCAGTTGTGAATGTAAGGATAGAAGTTCCAGCAGTAGCAGTAGCAGTAGCAGTAGCAATCCAACACCACTACCACCATCATCACTGCAATATGGGAAGTTGTGTAGCCCGGCGTGAAGCGAGCCAGCGGGGCGTCGGCACCAAGAGGTAGCTGACGAGTTGAAGGCGGGCGGGTCCGTACGACACAAGACGACATAGACGTTGGGGGATGTGAATATGCGAAGCTTAAGATCTTTTATCTTTTAAACCGTATTTGGACATATCTGTACGAACGGTCCGACGCTGATTGTCATGTTCGTTTCGGGCGACATGCTCTTAAAATACCGCATTTCGCACCATCCGCAGCCTCAGACCACCCCCCTGGTTATGCCCCTTGTTCTCTCTCTGTCCCTCACCCCCTGACTCCTCCTTCACAAGTTGGTTAGGCTGGTTAGTTACTTCTAGTTACATACTTTTGGCATATCAGTCTATCCTCCTTGGCATCGGCTTCACTCGTTCACGTGGTTGGTCTCCCTCCCCCTCCCCCTAATTATCCGGCTTGGGAGCCGAAGCAAGGGCCCCTAAGCTCCCAGGCGTCCGCAAGCCATCCCTTCCCTCCCCTGCCCCTCTGGTATCAGCTTCACTCGTCTGTGGGTCGTCTTTCCCCTCACATCACCTCAGGACTCACCTACATACATACCTACCTCCACCAAGCTATATAAACCCAAATCGACCCAAACCACCTAACCAACCAATTGAACTATCTACACTCGCGGCCTTGCCTTGCCTTGCTTCAACCGCTTCACCCACGTCCCACACCACACCCACCTCTTCACACAGGAGTCGAGAGAGGTCGCAGGAGCCGCAGCCGCTGCGGATGTCGCTGCGGCAACGCGGCGTGGCGGCCGAGCTGGCGGCAGGAATCGAACACGAGAGGTCGACGGGTGTGCTGCTGGCGGGGGGCCGCTGGCGGCGGAAGCGGAGGGTGCGGCTGCTGCCGCTGCCGCTGGCGGCAAGGGCTTGCCCCAGAGGCACCCCCCAGGCGAGTGAGAGAATGCACGACGTTGCACTGTGTATGTGTGTTTTGCTGTGATTGTGACTGTGATCGTGCTTTTGGAGTATGTATGTGGATATGTATGTATGTATGTAATGCCCCTCTGCTGCTGATGGCCTCAAACCCCCCTCATCACCACACAGGGAACCTGCCTTTTCGAAGTGGCAACGGCGACGAAGAGACGGATGCGGCGTTCCTAGCCGTACTGAAGGCCCGTGCCACGACCGCCACTAGTAGTACTACTGCTATTGCTGCTGCTGCAGCCGCGGGTGGCGCTAGAAGGGGAGGAGCAGGAGGAGGTCACCAAAACAAGAACAAAGAGAAAACACCACCGGGGGCAGGGGCTCTACTCAGGGTGCTCCACTACACACTCCAAAAAACCGAGGCAAGGGAAGACCTACCCACGTCAGGTACGTTTGCAACCCGGAAAGTCGTGTAGTGTTATCTTTCAACGTTATGCAAGACGAACGATGGTGAACGAACTCTATTCGATCGGTGTTTGAGAGATTGTGGTGTGCGCGTGTTGCGATATTCCCCACGGCGTTTGCACAAACTAAACTGTAACTCATCGAGGGGGGTCTGGGGGGGCCGGAGCCCCCCCTAGCGCCTTACATATTCGGAATACTTTTATACCCGCAAGTATAAACCTATTCCTCCGTTCGGACTGGAAAATTGACGGGCAAAATTGAAAAAAAAACTGCTGCCAGTATTGGTTGTAACTTGCTATTCTATAAATACAGTGCTTTGTTCGTAGCCTTCAGATATCCCTTTACGTCACATGCACCATCGAAACCAAGCGGCAGCAGCTGCAGTGCCTCCAATTGAACGTGATGTTGGTGTGTCTGGTAAAGGCGTGCTTTAAAAAAATCCTCTGTGCTCCGTGTCAGAGACACACATATACAAACGTCCATACATACATACGTACGTACGTATACATACGTATACATACGTAAACATACATACGTATACATACGACATACGACATGCCCCAGCGACTTCATCATTTGCTCATGCGTTTTCTATTAGGCTGCTGGGAGTTAGAGGTTGATAGGCCTAATGGGTGTGAGCGCACCGCGCGTACATGCAGGCTTTGTGACTGTGGAGCGGTTGAAGATAAGTTGCATGTTTTCGAAGTATGTCCCGCTTACATGAGCATACGGGCTAAGTATGATGGTGACCTAGTCCTTACGGGGCGCAGCATGCGCACCATTATGACTGAGGCGCCACCCCTGGCATTGGCCAGGTACCTCTCGGAAATTTGGGAGGCCAGGCACGTCGCGCTGAGGCGCTTCGCCCTAAAGCGGACGATGGAGAATGAAGATGACCTCCCGCGTACCAGCATCAATACCAATACAACGTCCATGGCCCCCCTGGCTTTTACGGACACACCCGCACTTGTGTGCGGAACTTGTAACTTGTAACATACGTACGTACATACATACATACGTACATACATACATACATACATACATACATACATACATACATACATACATACATACATACATACATACATACATACATACATACATACATACATACATACACCTCGTGTATGTAGGTGACCAAGGATGGTGTCACACATCTGGCCTGGTTGCCAGGTAGCGATCGGCTGACGCTGGCGGCCGCGGACAAGTACGGCAAGGTGTCGCTGTGGGACGTCGACGTGGAGGCGGGCGGTCCGGCGGAGAAAACAGCTGGTGGGTGGTAGCTCGCCGGGTGGTAGCGCCGCAATCTCGCATACTTTTGTGGAATAAGCTTGTGTGCGTGTGTATGTGGTCCTGTGTGAAACTGATGGAGTGAAAGGGTGAGTCAAAGATATAGAGTATGTATGTATGTATGTATGTGCTGGTGTGTGCCCTCCAACGTAATGTCCATGCGAATTGAGATCCTATTACCCCGCTCAGGAAAGGAAAGGGATGTCGTACTTATAGTACGGAACTGTGTGGTACGGCATATGCATCGCCTGAACAATCGCGTCTTTCCGCGTACCTCACCCCCCCTGGCGCTCCTGGCGCTACCTGCTGCTCAGTGTCGGCCGAGTCGTCCCGCACCGCGCTTGCACACTACAACTGCATAGCGCTACCTCCATAGTCCTAAGCTTGACAACAGCGACCGATACCCTGTCACACACCCGCGTGCCGTTACAATCACCGTTACCATCACCGTTACCATCGCCGTTACCATCGCCGTTACGATCACCGTTACGATCACCGTTACGATCACCGTTACCATTGCCGTTACGATCACCGTTACGATCACCAATACGATCACCGTTACGATCACCGTTACCATTGCCGTTACCATTGCCGTTACCATTGCCGTTACCACTGCCGTTACCATCACCGTTACCATTGCCAGGAGTTCTCATGTTCCAGCCCCACTCCGAGTATGTGTCCGGGCTTCGCTGGCTTGGTCGGGAAGCTGCCGTGGGCCCATGTCGCCTCATCACCACCTCGTACGACGGGTCCGTCAGGTACGGCATGGGGTTGCTTGTGTTACAAGGTAGAAGCTAAAGCAGATCTTTTTGAAGTTCTTCGAAAGCGATTTGCCCGCCGCCCACCCATCGTAGCAGCAGCTCCAGCTTCACCACCACCACCAGGTTTTCCACCACACCGGCTGCTTCATAATAGTGGGTATTGTACGGCATTGTACGATAAAAGACAAACCGTTCTGGGGTCTGTCTTTTCCGGAACCTTGTCCTTGTCCAAGGCACGGTGGGCCCTGGGGCTGCTTCCCGAAGCCGCGGATGATGATGGGGGCCCCCAGGGTGTGTCCCCCCCTCCCCCCACTCCGTCATCCGATCCCCCCCCCCAGGGCCCTCGACCTGGGCGGCTCGGGCATGTGGGTGGAGCTACCTGCACTGCGTGACCCGCGGATTCGTGGGTTCAGTGCTCTGGACGTCCCTTCCGACGGCCGAACGGCGTACCTGGGGGATCCGCAGGGGAATCGTGGATCTGCGCGGATCTCGTGGATCTGCGCGCGGGAACGGTCGTTGAACGTGGCGGTAGCGGCGGCGGCGGTAATTGTGGTGGTAGTGGTAGTGCTGGCCAGGCGGGGACGTCGGATGCGGTGGCGACGTCTCTGGGGGCTCTAGGTAGTTTGCAGATAAGCCAGCGGTGAGGTGGAATTGGGCGGGATGGGTCGTGGCGCGTGCGCTCTGCCGGTTCGGCCGTTAGCTCGTCATCTGGGGTGGTATGGGGTGTGCGATTTTGAGCTTTTCGAATGTGAACGGATGGCGGGAATCGCGTGTTCTTCTTCCCTTCCCTCTTCTCCCTTCCCTTTCTCCCTGGACGACCGTACAGGTCGTACACGCAGGCGCTTACGGTGTTCGTTCAATAAATCCATTTTAATTCTTACAACTATTTACATATGACACATAATTACATATATTCATGTTTGTGGTCCAAGCAACCCATAAGTTCATAAACCATCTTTGAATTTTTGAATCGCCAGAACAGTGACAGCGTTGCCATTGGCCGCATAAACTGTCTTTATCCTAGCATCGAACAGTGTTACAATCTACGCCGTAGTACCGTGAAGCGCGCGATGTCCTGAGCAATTATCCTATACCGGCGTCTGTTGTTGCTTGTTTACACGTTCTCAGTTCTACATTTCTCCAGCCGGGATTGGCTCTGCAGCAGTCGGATGCCTTCCATGTGGCGCGGATTGCAGAGATATGTGTAGAGAGCACGTAATTGGCAGGCATGTCATGCATGTCATCTTTGTCGAAAAGAAAAGTGCCGGGGATGCTTTGGTACCAAAATTTGTACGAGCGAATAAGAGTGCGCAGTAAGACACCGCAGCCATCTTGGTCCGCATGTTGCGTAAATGCAAATGCATAACAGCGAAATTGCCAATAGTTCATTGACGGGGCAATGTAAAACCTCTCCGTCCCCTCCCTCCTGTCTGTGTGACGCTTTGCTCAATCCTTTTGCAGGTGCACATCTCGGTTTCAAGCTTCAACTCCGTACACATCCCTTCCTGCAGTTCTCGTATACAACGTACTATATTTTATTACTAGGTCTTCTTAACTTATTTCTCTTCTTTGCTTGCCGCTTCATGTTGCCGTTTTTTTGGGAGTCACATCCTATATATCTGGTCCATTTGCGTCATGTGAACTTTTGTAACCGCCACACTGCACATTTTCCTGGCTTTTACCTAAAAGGTCGGAACCAACCGTCTTACGGGTGGGCAAGCCAACGAATTGAAAAAGCCCTGCAGTAACATACGCTCCGGACTGTTCCTAGACGCTCTGCTGACAGCTGCAGACCTCCGGTAATGTCTTGAATCTCAGTACAAAGCAGGTGTAGGGAACTGGCTCCAGTTGGCGACTAGAGGAAGCATTAGTTCCTAACTTGCCCGATCTGCACAGCCCAACATCAGACACTGGCTGAGACTAGGAAGAGAAGAATACTAAGCTTACAATTTATGGTGTAGGGATGCAAAGCCATGCACGACACAGAGTCGTACTGATCAAAGCCAAACCATACCTACTCGGTAACGAACACAAATCCCGTACATTTCCCCGGTCTTTCAAATCTGCAACGTCCTCGTTGCCATTGCAAGCACGAGGTTCCCTTGCATACTGCAACAATAATGCTTACAGCAGAACAGTGGGCATGCTCAGGCAAGTGCACCCCCATACAATGCCCAGGCATGACTAGATGTCGGACTGCAGACAGCTAGCCTCATAAGGCAAAGGTCATATCAGTTGGCGTGTTTAGGCAAAGCACCCCCACGACGTGCGTATCCACACCTCAACCAAGCACGAAACCCGCAGGCAGGTTGCGAGTGCCAAAGCAACTGCAATGTGCAGACAGCTGCACACAGACTGACTATTCTGACAATGATGTACACCATAATTCTACAATGCTGGAAAGGCTGACAACATACAGGCAGGCGGCTGGCAGAGGTTAAGGCCTGGCTTCTGCTCCCGTCGCGTCCGGGTTCAAATCCGCCTGCCGACCTCTCGGGGTGTTTGAGAGGTGATGAAATGGGAGGTGGCCCCCCATCTTGTGGACGGTGTAGGACGTGATAAAATCAACTCGCGAGCTGACCAGGAACTAAGTTGACGCGCCGTTGATCCGCTAGATTTGGTTGGATGCTGGTGGTGAGTTGCCAAACTCAAAGAGTACACTCTGAAGTCGGATGGGGTGAATGGCTTAGGGTGCCCCTCTAGCAGGGGAGAGCAGGGAATTGCCTCGGGAAGGAGGCCACTGGTGAAGCTTAACCACCCTGTAACAACATCAACATACATGCAACACTCGCAGATGCCCTGAACCTACATCCCGCAAAGCAGAAGGCAACTAGCAGCACTATCAGGTAAGACCTGCCAGGTCTACTGAACCGCCTAAGGGTATACAACGCCAATGCCTGGCCTGGCTGGCATGGTATTGTGATAGAAAGAAGCACGATCATACTTAGTCTGATACCCTGGCTGTCATAGCATCATTCATTGCCACTGCAGTCCATGCACACAAAAGCAAGAGAACCGGCCCCCTGCACGCACATAGACGAATTGCCAAGCGAAGTAGCAAGCTACACATACATGCTCGACCATGCATGGTGCGTGTCAATCAGTTCCAATGTGGTGCGAAGCCTTTCCCGGGGATCGTCGTCAAACTCCCCAGCGAGGCTGTTGAGCTGCTCTTCCAGAAGGCTCTCCCCCTTGAGTCGCTTCCGAAGCCTCTCGATATTCTCAACCGTTTCAGCCGGCAGCTCCGAGCGGTGCTTGTCCAGCGTATACCGCCGGTCCGTGTCACAGCCCTTGAGGTACTCACCCATCTTGAACATGGCAGCGTCAAAGCTCAATCCCGCCCAGTGGCGGCACACACCGTCTGATAGCTCCAGGAAGACATTGGTGTCATAGCTGCTGAGCAGAAGCGCCATGCTTGGGACCTGGGCAAATGTGAAGGCAGCGAGCAGCTCCACCAATGCTTGGCCCAACACTGAACCGGTAAAGAGCACGTCCTGCTCCGCTCCAGTGGGGGGGATGCCATGGTACCGCTGCTTGTAGGTGGCCTTGTGCTTGTCAGAGTGCTTGACTTCAATGCCAGCACGCAACTGCCTCGTACATCCACACTTGGAAAGCCCAAACGGAACAATCCCTGCATCCAATCCACCGCTGAAGCATGTGCTGCCAGAAGTGATCGTAAAGAGTCGCTCCTTGTGCAGGTCGTACATGGTGAAGCCGCCGCGATTGAAACTAACACCGTTCAACTTCAGCCCAGCCTCGATGTGTGCAAGAAAGTGGGGCAGCGCGGAATCCTCATTCGCATAATTACCCATGTCAAAGACTCCACATGACAGGAATGGGCCGTCAGGCAGCGGGGCCATCATGTTGCCGTCCTCAAGTGAAATATCCAGCAGGGCACACAAGCTGGTCGCTGCTTTCGAGCTCACTTTGCTGAACGCAAGCTCGCGCACTGGCGATTTGGCCCCCAGCACCCCGTGCTCCTCCAAGACTTCCTTTAACTTAAGCTTTATGTCATCACCTGCGCACAATAAGGGACCCAATAGCAGCACAACAGCAAGCAGCAAAGCCTTACCCACGCCTGCAAAAGCCGCTCGAAAAGGGTGGGGAAAACGTCGCGGACAATGAGTGCATGGCAGCACTTCTCAAGGTCATCAGGAATCGAACAGCAGCAGGGACATGTTGCCGCAGATGTCCTTGACCTTAGCATTGTGCAGCGCCTGGACGAAGGTGAGTCAGGTCAGCATCATAGACGAACCCTGCATACCTCATAGTGTGTATAATAATAGTTTTCCTTGTACGTTTTAATGGTACCTATCTATTTCGGACAGCCTTTGGCTGGCCCTTGGGCCCTCGGCTCGTTTGCCTCTGGAGAGTATCACAACACCAGATGGTGTTAGCATAATACACCCACACACCCACAGACACACATACTGCGATCACGACTGCGATAGCACAAACTTGCCACAGGCTGGAGCTTAGGAAGTGAGCATACTTTGCAGATTTGGAAAACCCAATACAGAACTGAAGAACGAGCCACAACGTGCTACTGGGTAATAAAGCATGCTGGACCCTTGCCAGAATCAAAGTACCAAAGTACAACATGCAGGTCTGTGTTCTCAGCAGGGTCAGGCATGCAACATGGACGCAATACAATCATGTGCATGCACCACGGGGCCCGCAAGCTGCAGCTCAAAAAGGACTTTCTCCACCAAGTTTGCCGATGCCTGTCAAGGGGACTCCCCATGCTAGGCCACCAGCACCTCAGTGCGCTATCGAGGAAAGCTGTGTGTCCGGTGAACTCTCAACCACAAAGCCTAGAAAGACCGTTCCAAAGAGGGGAGGCTGTGACTTGCTGTCACGACACAAACAATAGCTCTGTTTGAGTGTAGTTGTCTGCGTCATCCATTACAGCAAAACCTCTCTTGCATGGTATTGGTAACGAATGTTACCGGCTATAAGACAGAAACCCTCTCTTATGCAGAAAACTTCTGACACCCTAATTGACAGGGTCCGCTGGCAAGCAGTCGCAGGTGGACTTCAGATTACCAAAGGACAACCAGCCTCACGGCCAACCACAATGTGTGCACAGCAGGATCTAAATTGCTGAAGCTGATGTCTTGGAAGCAAGAGCAAGCACTAGGAGCAGGAGTCTATACAACTCGGGCTCTTCGGCAAAGTATGACCTAATTGGTGGCACAGGGACCACGCTTAGAATGTACGTAAGGTCTGCCGAATGCTGTGGCGGACTGTAAGGTCTCGTCGACCATGTCAGCCAAAATTTTGATGAAGAGCCCAGACAACTCAGTGCTCAGGGGGAAACCCTGAAAACACACCCGGTGTGTGGGTGTTGCTACGTAGCCAGTTTGTGGCTTGGCTGTTTGTCCATTCTGCACTGTAATGGCAATTGGCAGCCGGGGTTCTTCACCAGGGTACAAAAGATTTCGGCTGTGCCTGAAACCCTCTGAATAAACTTACAAGGCCTCCCTGACAGCCTTCCCATCAGCCTAACATTTTTTTCAGCCACCCTGAAACTGTCCCAAGCGTTTTTTGGGGTAAAATTAAGCTAGATTGTATCACAACATCGGCCTGATCTGCTGATTTAAGCGGTATTTGACTTCATTTGGGATCACGGGTCCTGAGGGCAATCGTTCAGGCAAGGATGTTACCCAAAACCGAGGAGGCGCTGCTATTCATCCACCTGTGCCGCAACCACCTCCACAACACCTGCCAACTCGTCATCCGTCTAGAGCCCATCAGGGTTCTTTGTGATTTGCACGTGTATACTTGTTGTTTGACTGGCGACCAAGCGGGCCTTACACTGCAAGACCCGGTTACCGGCCGCCTTCCACCCGAAACCATGTAGATTGATGCTAATATATCTTTCGGGTTTTTGTGAAAACACCTTCGCGTAGCTTCGGTGGGGGCCCCGAAGACGTGCTTCGCACAGCCCCGAACCCTTTTGGACCGCTCCAGGGTGCCTCAATTTCCTTCCGGGCAAAATGGAAAATCCTCTAAAATGCCTACTGGAACTGTTTTCGGTTGGGGGTCATCGACTTGGGGGTCACCGACCTCTCTCTGGTCGTCGTTCGAAGTAAACTCACAGTCGGCACACGAGTGGCACTTATTACCATAGATATGAGACTCAGCATAGGAAAATATATATTGACTTGCACAGCAAGTTTCCCTCTATAGGATTGAACTTCAACTAGGGGGGCGGCTTTTTAAAGCCGAAAAGAGGCTCGGCCCCGGTGCAGCCACATGACCCCCGTTTGACATAATCATTATTGACTGAACGGTTAGCCTTTTCATGATGCGGCAATCCGTAGAATGACATACACACAAAGCAGGAGTGTCATTTCGGCAACGTGTGTTGTCGCTGCTGCGCCAAATCCGTGAGGCGGGACTGCCCTATTCGACGGCGGCCCTTCTGCTGGCTGGCAGTTCAAGGCGCGTCAAAGTGCCCGTGCTTCATGGACCAATTGTTGTCCGCTCCTAGCCAGGATACATTCGGGGATCGTTCCAGTTACACATTTTGAAGTCGGAATGCAGCGGCAAAGCTGATGGTGTGTCGCAAAGGCACACTTCGTTTGAACTTGGATTGAATGAATAAGACGGACAACAATCAAACAGGCACGAGCTAGACGCCAGGAGGGAGGTGCTTAGAGTGTTGCCATGGGTCGGTCTAAAGTTGCTGAGCATGAACGAACCAACCCATAAAGGATCATGCCGTTTGATCATGAATCTAAGATGTAAGGGACATGCAACGGCGTCAGAGGCAAGGGCTGCGGCGTGAGGGGAAATCAAACTCGAAGCCATTGAAAGCTATCTTCGCGATGTATTTGAATGTTCTCCTTTGGCCAACCGATAAAGAATCGATGTAGCTTCTACATTTAATCTTTAGTGGAGCGAGATATGTAACTTTATGTCAAACTCGGAGCCATGGAAAGCTATCTTCGCGCTCCGATTTATCTGGAATTTCTCCTTTGGCATTTCGATATAGAATAGATATAGCTTCTACATTCAATCTTTTGCGGAGCGAGATATGTAACTCTATGTCAAACTCGGAGCCATGGAAAGCTATCTTCGCGCTCCGATTTATCTGGAATGTCTCCTTTGGCAGGTGGATGTAGAATAGATATAGCTTCTACATTCAATCTTTTGCGGAGCGAGATATGTAACTTTATGTCAAACTCGGAGCCATGGAAAGCTATCTTCGCGCTCCGATTTATCTGGAATGTCTCCTTTGGCATTTTGATATAGAATGGATATAGCATTCAAACGCTATTTTTTGCGGGGCGAGATATGTAAGTCACTGACTGACTGACTGACTGACAGCTGTGAACCCGGGGGGCTCGGGCCCCCGAATGGCGCTTCGCGCCCGGGGCCTCGCCCAAAAAAGTACCACTGTGTTTAGATCCGATATTTAATATATTACCCAGCCACCTCATGCAGGTACAGCTGCCTGGGTTTATCCCCCTGGTAACACATTACCGCCCTCTTCTATCCAGATCCAGACTAATCATATATAGCATCACTCAAAGGAGGCCGTACATGTATGTGTAGGAACTAATTCCCAGGGTTTTCCCTAGGTTATCATTACCAAGGAATCAGCCCCCTTAAATGGCATATGACCAGAAGGGTAAACAAGAGGCAGGATACATAGCTAGATAGGCGCTCTGAGCCTTCTTTGTGTGCAGGTAAATAGGCAGGCCAGAGCCACAACACTGCCAAATCTGTTAGCGCTTCACTACCTACTGTAAGGAAATGGGGATAGGAAGCATTCAGCTCCAATAAGTGAACGGCAGAATGAGGCGAACTCACCAGAGCTGGGACCCGGTGGCGGGACAGCAGCTGCCGCACCTGTACATCAAAAAGGAAAAAAGAGGGTGCATTATGCAGGTAAGTCATTTGTCAAGACATAACAGGGGTGTGCTCTTTTGGCAAAGGAATACACAGCTGACCAACGGTTCAGAAGACCGTGCATGGTATGCAGTGTAGGCAGGCGGCTGGCAGAGGTTAAGGCCTGACTTCTGCTCCCGGCCGACCCGGGTTCAAATCCGGGTTCAAATCCGCCTGCCGGCTCCTCGGGTGTTTGAGGAGTGTTGAAATGGGAGGTGGCCCCCCATCATATGGACGATGCAGGACGTGATAAAATCAACTTGCGAGCTAACCTGGAACTAAGTTGATGCGCCGTTGATCCGCTAGATTTGGTTGGATGCTGGTGGTGAGTTGCCGAACCCAACGAATACATTCTGAAGTCATGGGGTGACGGATTAGGGTGCCCCTCTAGCAGGGGAGAGCAGGGACTGCCCCGGGAAAGGGGGCCGCTGGCGAAGTTAACCACCCTGTAAAAGAAGAGTGTAGCGAAGAAGCGCTTGGCATTCTCGCGGGATCAGTATGCACTAAGTCGGAAGGGCAATCAGCTCAGGGAACGAGCCGAAACTTGACCAGGTCTGTGGAATCTTTTCGTATTCGGGAGCCCCTTTGCGGAAAGGCTGCGGAAACTGCGGAAAGCTGCGGAAACTATAAAAGGAATATGTAACGATGTTTTTTAGCTCTTCTCAGTGTGGTGATGACATGGACAGTCTGAAACCAGCTTGCGGCAGTGCGGTTCTGTCCGGTGGGATCTAGAATCTGGTGGATTCCAATCGTGCTCGAAGGTAGAGCCATCTAAACGTATTACTGGGGGTGGCAGTGGCCAAGCGATCAACTATTGTGTGCCCACACCCTTGACGGTGTTCACCCTGCCCCCTTCAAGCAGCCCGCCTCTCTTTGAACCCTGAGACCCCAGGCCTGAGCAGCCCTATCGTATACCACCCCCATAGTATTGTTGGCTGACGGATTGCTCTGGGATGCTCAGAAATTGCCACTCATATGTTACATGGCGACGGCAGCCCTTGCAGGTTGCATAGCAGTTCTTGCTCTTGTCGTAAGGACCTCTATCAAAATGTTTCCAAACGTCGTCAACGGGCCTTCCACCCTTCTTCTGAGCAGAAACACAGTCAATCTCTATGACTTCGGCAGCCCCCAGGTCGGGGCCAGTGGTTGCTGACATTTGACTTAATCTAATAACTCCATGTGTAAAACGCAGTCTTTAAATGGCAAACGCATGCCTGGAATCTGTTTTAGACTTTCCGCCGTACAGCAAACGCGGAAATGCGGATTCTCTTTCCGCACTTCCGCCAATCTGGGCTTCGCTGCGGAAAGCATGACGAAACCTATTTCCGCAGGTTTCCGTTTCCGCAGGTTTCCGTATCGGCTCGTTCCCTGAATCAGCTACCAAAGCTACCAAACGGCTTAGACTCAAGAAAAAACAAGGTTGCAATACACAGGTCAATAGTAACTCAACAGTCGGGGTTAGACTCAAGCCCAGTAAAGGAACAAACAACTTGCTAACAGTGAGGGGGTGTCCAGATGACCATACAGATTGGTTAGGGTTTTACTTGAAGGTATATCTTGCAGGGATAGAGACATGGTGGATGGACTACAATAATGCTCTTCGGCAAGCCGCTGTCGGCCCCCTTCAGGCACTGGCGGTGTGATGCGCCACAGCAACTACCGGACACCGGGCTTAACTACCACAAGTCACGAAGCCGAGAGCGCTTTCCCCAAGGTTATATCTAGCTAGTACTATCGCGCTTGGACTGCTTTCGCGGGCAGATGTGGCCGGCAGTTTTTGTACCTCGCGCATCAACTGCTTGTGGGGCTGTTCGGGCCAGGCAGTTTCGTGGACCTCGCGCATCAACTGCTTGTGAGGCCGTTTGGGCCAGGCAGTTTTGGGACTTCGCGCATAGACGGCTCATGCTGCCGCATGGGCCGGGCAGTTTTTTGGACCTCGCGCACAGACTGCTTAGGCGGCCGCATGGGCTGGGCAGTTTTTTGGATCTCGCGCATCAATTGCTTAAGGTTACTAACGGTTCCGATATTCTTCTCCCCTGCTTGGAGCCGGTAAAGACCGACAGCCGACAGCTATAGGCTGGAGGGGCCAGTAACATCCCACACAAGCTGCTTACGAGGCCGGATGTGGCCAGCAATTTTGGACACTCGCTGTGCTTAGGCTGGATGTGGCCAGAAGCCTCTTGTGAGAAGATCTCTAATACTGCCCGTCTTCACTGTGGTTATGGCCGGATGTGGCTCGCAGTTGTGATTACTTTGGCAGTCGACAGTGACGCACCCCACCCCCGCAAAGGGTACATACTCAAGTGACTGCGGTAGGGTAAAATGGCTACAAGACCCATTAAATCGGTCTGTAGTGCCCTACTGTGTGGGCAGGCTTAAATCACCTTTGGTGCTAAAGCTGCGCGGGTATGCAGAAACCCAATTTCCTTCCTTGCCCCCACTTCACATCAGCTACCCAACCATCCAACATGAGTGCCCACTCCGGCCAAGCACAAGAAGACAGCGCACTAGTTCCATACTCCCGCATCATCACACCAGTTTTCCCCGATACATCCCGACTTCGCCTTCGTGCTTTGCGTACCTTACCGCCGCGTCTCCAGATCTTAACACACTACATATACAAGATCTTCCTGGGTGCCCAGCGAACAGGACATGGCTACTAATTCATTGCCATTCAAGGGAACCTGTTCATGCGCGTTTGCAGACACGCGTTCATCTACTAAACGATCTTGTCCCGCTATTCAATGAAAGAAGAGGCTCACTTAAGAAGGATTGGCCCCTTTTCCCGTCTCCTGACCGGCGGCCTGCAACAACCAGCGCGCCCGGCCGCACATCGGCGGGGGTTGTGCCAAAGTCATACAGCTTCGACCACTGTGGTCGTCACCAGACAGTGCATCTTCGTCGGGCGCATGTACACAGCAATGGCTCAACATCATCGCAATCGGCAACAAGACCAAGTCTACGGTTACTCTTTGGCTCAAAATATAGCGATCCCTCAGCAGCACTGATTATACCAGCGCGTCAAACGCAAGTTTATCCTAAGGATGCCGGACCGGCCTCGAGCCGGCCGACACAAGTGCCCCATAAGAGGCGTGACACGGCAAGCCAGTGCCCGCAACCAAGGTGTCCGCATTTCCCCGGAGAGAACACCGGTACCGACAGGCCCTGAACAAGTGCACACCCGGCGCGTGGATGACATGAGAGTTGTAAGGAGGGCCGGGACGAGTTTGCAGCGTGTGGACAAACCTAAGTCCAACCAGCCATCACAGATGAGGGCCCGGTTGAAAGCCAAAACAGCATGTTGGAAGTTATTTATGCAGTCCCGCCTGGTCATGGCCTGGGTACTGTTCGGTTTCCGCTGTTGTGCGAAGCACCCTACAGCCTGACCAACCGTCGGCCTAACAGCAGACTGAATTTTGCGATCACCGAACTGGTCGCAACTGGGCGGGACCACGAGTCGACTGCCAACTGCGCTGCGTATTGCCCCTCGGTTTTGTTCCTAAAGAAGGCCACTCCCAAATTCCGCCTAATTTCTGATGCACGTTATGTTATATTATCGAGCACCGTGTGGTGCCGAGCTACAGGTATAAGTCCCGTGGGATGCTTGTGTGAAGTGCCGCAACCACACGGCTATCTGCCCACCGTGTCTCAGAAGTCCGGCTATCACCACATTGATATGCACAAGGAAGCTCGGCAATTTTAGGCTTTGCACAGCAAGGGCGAATTTTCCCAGGTTGTGCAGTGCCCAGTAGGCTGGCACCAGCCTGTTGGGATTTTTTCGCACACCAAGGTGCGGGCGCCCTACCAGGGGCGAGAGCGGGTTCTCACCGACTTGGTTAACGTGGGATCATCAACTAGTAACCAGGAATGCCCTTTCGAACCTGAGCAGTGGACGGAGTACTTGGGGGCGGGTTGACACCATCAACGGCTCAATTCGTACCAAAAGGATGAGACTCGCAGTGCAGAGGATGGTTGAACCTGCGCAGCGTTCAACAGCTGTACTCCCTACTGGGTGCATGAGATCGAGGACCTTTCGGGCATGTCGCTATCGCTGCCCCAATGTGGTCCACAGTTTTACCGGTCCAGGTCTGGTCCTACCGCCAGCCATGAGCTGTCGGAGTCGCCAAATATTGCACGCTTCTTTGCAGTCTAGGGTGGGTTAAACTCTTTTGGCAACCTACCCACGCGCACCCATTTGCCATCCACACAGATGCTGTTCCGAGTTTTCGTATGGCGGCTGGGTTGGTTGGGTCCTTGAGGACGGTGCCGTCCATCTCAGACTCCTGGAACTGTCGGCGATGTTTAATGGCGATGTATAATGTGTTACCGGGCCTCTTTCGGCAGGGGTGCTTGGACGCCCAGCGGGTGCTGGTGACAATCAAAGCCAACCTGCTAAAGACTTGATGATCCAAAGGTGGACCCCTTGTGGCCATGCACATGACGTGTGTGCACCACTGCTCTGGTAATAGGGCTTGGATCTCAGTGGATTGTTTCCCTCTTGAGTGCCACCAGTTCGCGGACGCACCCTTCAAGGGGCATGGCACTTTCGTTTGGCTGCTAAACCCTGCTTTGTTTGCACAACTGGCCAGACCGTGGGGTCACGAGGATAATTTGCAGTTGCCTTAGTCACATCGACAGCCGTCACCTAATGCTCCCCCTTACAATTTCACCAGATACTGACATGCGACAGGGTGCGAATGTCGCTGGGTGGTGTTTCCGCCTTCGCAATCATCGGACAAACCCTGATGCATGCAACCGCCACCATGCACGGCTTTGGTTCATCATGCCTCTCGAGCCTCATGCAACCTGGTGGCCCAAATCCATAAAATCCATAATAATAGTCATCATATCATCGTAATAATTACAGTAGTAGTAGTGATAACTTAGTCTTGGCTGCAGCTTTACCGTTCGTCCAAGCTAGTCTGTGTTACTGAAAGAGGGCATAGTCCCGTCCACTCGGGGTCACCCAAGGGGTATCCAACCGCCAAGATGGTACACGGTTGCATTCCCAGTGGACTTTGCCGACGGCGCCAACTTTGTGCCAGTGCCACCCCTGAAATGCAGACCCTGATACACATATCGTGCCCCACTTGTAGTGGTCCGTGTGTGCTGCAAGCGGCACCGATGGACACGATATGGGTTGTGCGGCATCATCACCACCATACCTTCCCTCCGCTGGGTCGTGGCCAACTCGGATGGCATGCCGAGCTTGGAGCAGCATACCACGCCGCTCAACACAACCATCCCACCCAACCATACAGACTGCTCCGGGCCCCTGTGGAGGCTCTTTGTGGAGGCAGGGCTGTCTCCGCGCTTTGGAACACACTCACTGCACTCTGAAGGTGTGACCGCTGCCGTTAACAACCGTGCGGATTGCAGCTTGGAGCAGAAGCTGGGTGCTGGAAGAGTGCGGAGGTTTCGAGAGCATAATGGTGAAGACAGCACCGCGGCTGGGGCATGGGTGATGACCCTCTTGACCTATACCGACCAGCGATCGTTGCACTTGTGGGTCCTTTCAAGACCTGTCATTACTATCGGCCACTAGTGCAACTTTCACAATGGGTTGGTGTTGGGAGGGGGTTTCGCAACGGGTTGTTTTGCTACGGAGTTGTGCTTGCGGTTGGCGGCTTAGCTACTGTAACGCACCACGGCAGGACTGAGCAATAAGCTTCGACTTCTCGAAGCGAAGTATGAGTGTAGAGATAGGCAAGTTATTGCGAAGGAACTGCCGTGGTGCGTGGAAGTAGGGCACATGCATGCATGCATGTGCCGGACCGCAGTACGGCAGGGGACGCCGAGCTCCTACTTGGGTCCCACAGGCGCATTGGTTCTTTAACTGCCGTTGTTTTGACTATTAATACCAGGAGGTGTGTCCCGCTGCTGGGACAGTGTCCTCTAGTTTCCCCCCACCCACGGGTCGGTATCGTACTAATTGTCCTTTAATATGGGTTTAAGATTGGAGTACCCGTATCGGTGCGTTCTCTCGTCAATTTTCTGTGCCTCGTCGTTCCCCCCACCCACCCAGGGCAACCGCGGGGGTTGCCACCAGGGTTGGACAGGACCTTCCTGAAATGGTCGGGTTGCCGGTTTTCCCCTTCCCATTCCCGTCGGGCCCACCCGATAGCGTTTTTGCATATCTTTCAATTTCTGTCGGGTGCCCCGATAGCCCATCCCAAAACCTGTCGGGTGACGCAAGAACGAAATTTCGCTGTGTGCCGCTTGAAATTACATTTATTCGTATTTTATATGCGCAGTTTCCAGTTCTCAGTTTGCTGTTCACAGTTCTGATATGCACGAACAAACACACACACACACAGCAACACATGCACGCCTGCACGTCTGCCTGTGAGCATCAAGCTGTTTTGGTAAAGCCCACAGACTTACAGGACGAGGCAGCAAACGTTCGAAAAGGTAATGTAAAGATTATTAATTGTCAATAAGGTCGAGATAAGGTAGTGTGCCCTTCGCTTATGTATCCAAGCATGGATCCCTGTACAGCAGAGTCAAAGGATAAAGAAGAAGAGGCAACGAAGTGAACGAATGCTACCACTACATTACATATTTCCATCCAGCTAAATTTTTATGAATGCCATTATGTATCGCTGTAGCTGTCAGTCGCCGAAGGGCCCACCGACGACCCACGGCACCCGATCAGGCGGTCCTAGCGCCCCTAACCCTGTCGGGTCCCCCGACGGGAGCCCTCCAGGCCCCGGCGGGGGCTCCCGATGGCCGTTTGGCATTTTCCCCCTTTTTCGTCGGGTCCGCCCGAAAGCATTTTTCAAAGCCTGTCGGGATTTCCAGCACAAGTGCCATTCCTGACGGGACCCGATCGGACTGTCGCACCCTGGTTGCCACAATGCAGCGGTCCCTGGTTTGTCCTTGCTGGTTTCGGGTGGGTCGCCCGCGTGGCTCTTGTCGGGGCGCTTGAGGTTGCAGTTTCGTTAACGGTGCAACACAGGTAACTGTCATTACTATCGGCCACTAGTGCAACTTTCACAATGGGTTGGTGTTGGGAGGGGGTTTCGCAGCGGGTTGTTTTGCTACGGAGTTGTGCTTGCGGTTGGCGGCTTAGCTACTGTAACGCACCACGGCAGGACTGAGCAATAACCTGGATTCCCGATATGTGGCGGGTGCAGGTAGAGGCGACGCGGCTTGCATGTAGTAGCAATCTTCATGCAGCATTCTTAACACCCAAGCTAGCTTCACGCGCAAGTTTGCAAAGGCAACCTGCAAAACCTAGTTTCGGAACTCGCGACCAGCGTCCTGTCTACTCTCAACCACAATGCCTAAGCACAGCAGCACAATTGTGGCACAATTCTCGCAGGGCTTGACGAGACACTCCTAACGCCCTATGCGTCCAATGACACTCCTAACGGCCCCTTGCGCAAAACTTACAAGTAGCGGTTCACAGGATACGTACCTAGCTATGCTTAATTACGCGATTGCATACAACTGACCTTGGATGGCGGCTTTTAGAGCCAACTGTTGTCGAACAGTGAGGCCTGCTGCCTGTTCCGCATTCAGCAGTAGGAAAGCGTCGCCGACCTCGGCATCTACGTCAAAGCCTAAATCTGACAGGGCCGCAACAGTTGGCGAAATGGATCCGGCGTCCTCGCCCCTCACAGAAAGCAGGGCTTGCCGGATGGTCACCATGTCTTGGTAAACACTGACCCTGTGTGATAATTCAATTGTATTTGTAATGTCATGAAGTTAGTTGACGAGCTCTCGGAATACATGCGTGACCATGTGGTAGCTTCGGAGCTAGCGGACGAGGACTTGTGTACGACAAGTGAAGTTGTGGCGCGCTAGCCTGGCTATTTAACCGGACTAATTTAGGAGCATTGAAAGTCTGAGATGAGATTGAAGATACCTGAGATGAGATATCGATACTCTGTGCAAACGCCAGTATCTCGGTTAGTAAAGTCAGCTTACGCTTCCCATTCCCCTTACAGTACTGGAGGCCACTGTAGTATTTCGGCCAGGCCTTACCCATGTCTTCACTGCGTTAAGTAAGCTGAGTTAATTGGGCGTAAGGCCCAGTATATGTTTGTCTATCTGTTTCGCACGGCCCGTGTCCTCAGGGCTGTTTCCTCAGTTTCCTGATCTATCCGGGTTAACTTGTGGCTGGGCATTCCACCGACCTCAGTTTTTGGGTGTGTGTGGGAGGTTGTATGCCTCGCGGCCATCAGCTCACTCAATCTCGGTCGCCGTTTGCTGTTTAGGGAAGGTCTCCAGGCCAACATGACCGTATCTACGTCAACGCTTAACCGCATTACTGACGATGTTATGTTATCTCTGACTTTTGGGCCCGTTTAACTGCTTTTGCGGCACGGGATAACTTGCCAAAACGTTGGGGACACGTGCCTCACAACCACCCTTTCTTATATCTCAACGACGCAGGCAAGGTTGTTTGCCGCTTACTGATGTCCAATGATGAGGTTTGAGGGCTATACTAACTGAGGCCTTGTGTCCAGTGAAGTTAGTACGGCCTGGCCGAGTTCTTTTTGAATAATGCCTACAATGTTGTGCGGGATGCGTTCCTAGGGGGCGCTGCAGTCGACCCGTTCGGGGTCCACTGTAACAATCGCATCCTCAGGGCCGTCATTTGTAGCGCGCATTACGCTGGTTACCTTATCATGTTTTTGTTGTTCAGCGCGCGCTGATCAACAAAATGGGTCCCATCGTTGTGCCTTCGGCTCGTCAGCGAGACCCATCGAATAGAGTGCAGTGGAGAATATAGAACACTAGCACCATATAGTTAGCCCATCTAATTGAAGCACATTTCATAGTGCTAGTGGCGGTATCGCTAGGCATGACTCCATTCCTGGTCGGCTCGCAGGTTAACTTTATCCCAGGTCACCACTGTCCATCAACTAGGGGCGCAATACCTTCCACCATAGGAAGGATTATCGACCTTGATAGGTCTCGATCACGTTGGTGTGCTGGAAGTTGGTTGCATGTGGCTCTTGGCAGGATGATGTTACCGAGCCAGCATCCGCCGCTGTAACGCAGGGGCTTTCAGTCTGAGCGATTTGGGAGGCAGCTGCCTCGTTGCGGTGCCAAAGTTTTAACAATGCTTTTCGGGCGCGTAGGGTGTCCAGCTTTGTGCGTTTTTTTGGTATGTTGTTAGCTCCGTAGCTTCTGATGTTTATCGCTATTGCTAAAAATTGACGCGCTATTACTTCGCATGACGGTAGGCAGTACAAATCAGCAATAATGATGTCGGCGGTGGCGATAGTGATAAGGGTGTGTTCACATGTAGTCCAATTGAGAGTCTGATTGGGAGTCCGATTCGGGGCGGCTTTCTGAATTGTGTTCACATACGATTCGCTGCACGGCGCGAGGTGCCACCGCGCCCAGCTGAAGCTCCGCGGCTACGCCCCATCACCCAAGGCAAGCCAGCATTATCTAGGAACAGAACAGTATAAGTATCGTTTCTATGGCGAAAATTATCAACAGGCTTGTACATACATAGCTGCAGGAGTTCGTGAAAAATGCTCGGTGCGCTTTGCGTGAATTAACAATTGGAAAATGTTCCTATAGTATTGTAATGGTAATCATGAGAAACGGTTTGTTAAACAACTTTGTTTTGAGAAAGAAAACTGTGAATCACGTCGAATCATACCCGAAGAGGCCCCCCCGGACCCCAATTCCGTCCAATTCAGAGTCCAATTCGCATGAATCAACCCTGATTCGCCCACATGTGAACACGTCCTAATGAATTAGGGCTCAGGGTTTCTGTACCCTTGCTGCCTGCCCGTTCCTCTATTGCTCTCCTCCATAGCTAGTAGGGTCCTCATGCCTCTGAGGAAGGCACTCGGGAAGAGCGTCCAAGCTCGCGCCAGGCTTTGCTGTCAAAATGTCCAGTGCCCGTGCGCCTTTTTTTAACAAAAAACTGCAGATGCTTCATGATACCTTGGCGCGGTTTAGGAAGGGTGCCCTAGCGAATGAAACTCCGTCTGGGAGGAAATCCGACGGTGAACTTGTTTAGGAAAATCGTTGTGAACGGAAGCAGCTGCCCGCCGTCGGCTCGTGGTCATCGTCATCGTCATCGTCGCGTATCCACTTGACGAGGCTTAGCTGGGGCACCCAGCTGGGACGTTAGGGAACAGGGTCCCTGGCGGGGTACAGCGTGCTTGATATGGATAATCAAGAGCCCCACGAGCGCGGACGTCATTGAGACGGTGTTGCCGTGCTGTGGGAGGGCCTTGAGTGTTGGTTGGGTTTTATGTGGTTGCCTGAGGGGGAGCTCGGTTACTGTTCTTCCAGGCACACACACAGAAACACAGGTGTGTGCGCGTGCGTGCACACCTATACACGCATGCACACACATTGCCAGGCTTGACACACACCATACATGCATGCACACACATTGCCAGGCTTTTTGTTGCGACAGGGTTATAATAATAGTATTTCTCCTGCGTTTTGTTTGCGATATCTGTTGCTATTTCGGACAGCCTTCGGCCCATGGCTCCATCCCCTTATCTACGTTCCATGTATGTATGTATGTATGTATGTATGGGGCCCCCGTGATGATAACCTTGGAGCAATAGGGGGAAACGAGTCAACTCCAGGAGGTGGTGTAACCCACACGCTCACACGCTCACACGCTCACACACACACACACACACACGCACACACGCTTAAGTTGCCAAGCCGCTGTCGCTAACAGACATAAGAAATGTATCTTATGGCTATGTGTGCTCGTTTCGTGCCGGCATTCAGTCGGGTCATTTTCATGCGGGTTTTGACCGCCCGGGGGGCTCTTCTAATCATTTTGGTGTGCGTGATTGTCGTGCGATGGTCGCCGTACCGCAGTGTACGGACTATGCGTTAAAGTTACTGTGTATGGATGCTCGTACTTCCACTTGGTGTTGGCAGCAGGCCATCGTGATTTTTGATGGTAGTTATGATGAGATGTATACTACAGCGACGGGCGCGTTTCTGCTGTCGCCTCTCCTGTGTTGGCGTGATATGTTGGGTATTACGACGTATTGTTGGCTATTACGACGGTTATACTGAGCTACAGCTACAATTGCGATTGTTGCCGCGTCATCGCCGCCGCCGCCGTCGGCAGTTGCTGCTGCTGCTGTTTGTCGAGTGGCGGCGGCATCGCCTCCACGACGATGCTAGATGCGCCGCCGCCGCCGTTGCAAATGGCGGCGCAGCCCCTCCTACCCCCCCTGGAGCGCAGCACGTTGAGCAAAGTCACTAGGATGCGCGCACCGCTCGCGCCGATAGGATGCCCTAGAGCCACACTCCCGCCGAAGACGTTGACTCTGAAAGGCCGTGTGGAAGAGAAATTTGGGTTTAGAAGGCGCTGTGGGTTTTACTTTATTCAAAATATTAATTAAATCAGGTTTTAATACTGGTTATTTCGGGATGTTGGCCTTGCCGATTGCAGTGTAACTTTAAAATGTACCTAAAACCCCAAAACCTTAAGTTAAAACCGCCCTAAAACCGTAACGTAAATTCAGAACCATCCAAGGGACACACGCACCGCTCGGCCGGTAGCCCCAGCAACTGCCGGTTGACCAGGTCAACGACGCTGAACGCCTCGTTGACTTCCCAATAGTCCACGTCAGATGCTGACGTCAGCCCCGCGTGTTTGAGTGCGCGTGGTACTGCTAGCGCCGGGGCTGTCGTAAACCATTCTGGCGATTGTGCAGCGTCAGCAAAGCCCCGTACCGCCGCCAGCAATGGCAAGCCCAGACGCTGTACGGCGAATCGATGCATCGATGCGACCCATTTCCACCGCGGGGGAAAGGGAAACGTGTGAGTTATAAACACAATCCCGTGCACACACATTGCTTGGCAAAAAGGTGTGAGGGGAAAAGTGAACCCTGCAGGACAGTACGACAGAAAGTTCGTACCTGTACGGCTTCATAACTCGCTACCACCAATGCCGCCGCCCCGTCGGTCATAGGCGACGCGTTGCCTGCTGTGACCGTTCCGCCGTCACGACGAAAGTACGGCTTGAGCGCCGTCAGCCGTACAGGGTCCATCTTCGAAAGACTTTCATCCTCTCAGATGTACGACCCTGCTGTGGCGGCGGCGGGGCCCGCTGCTGCAGCCGCCGCCGCAGCTGCGGCGGCGGCTACCGTGCCGTACAACGACGGCGGAGTTCCACCGCCGCCGCTACCACTGCTGCCGCTCGCGCCGACGCCGCCAGGAATACCGATCGTCGCGCTGCGTGACGCTGGTCCCTCCGCGCCGCTACTGCTACCGCTACTGCCGGTTGCAGCCCTTGCGCCAGCCACGCTTGGCGACACATTCGCACGTCCGCCGCCTCCGCCAGGCCGCGGCACGGGTACGACCTCCGCCGCTGTGTACCCCGCCGCCGCCGCCGCCACTGCCCGCCGGTGGCTTTGTAGCGCATGCTCGTCCTGCGGCGTTTATTGGCGGTTAACGACGGTTAATGGGCTGCGGCGGTTCTTTTTAATGTGTATGTGTGTGTTGACCTGACACCCAAGGCACAGATCATGGATATCCGTCACGACCGGCACAGGCCCTCCACGGCATCAATTATCGGTCGCCTCGACAAGAGCACACAGTCCGCCCATGAAACATGTACGAGAGCTGCACTGGCAGTAGCAGGACCAAGATGTCCCTTCATGTTGCAGCCCCAGGCTCATGCAGCCAGATAGCGAGATGCAAGCTGGGAAGGCCGGGCTTTTCAATATCGTCTGTGGGTCGTCTTTCCCCTCACATCACCTCAGGACTCACCTACATACATACCTACCTCCACCAAGCTATATAAACCCAAATCGACCCAAACCACCTAACCAACCAATTGAACTATCTACACTCGCGGCCTTGCCTTGCCTTGCTTCAACCGCTTCACCCACGTCCCACACCACACCCACCTCTTCACACAGGAGTCGAGAGAGGTCGCAGGAGCCGCAGCCGCTGCGGATGTCGCTGCGGCAACGCGGCGTGGCGCCCGAGCTGGCGGCAGGAATCGAACACGAGAGGTCGACGGGTGTGCTGCTGGCGGGGGCCGCTGGCGGCGGAAGCGGAGGGTACGGCTGCTGCCGCTGCCGCTGGCGGCAAGGGCTTGCCCCAGAGGCACCCCCCAGGCGAGTGAGAGAATGCACGACGTTGCACTGTGTATGTGTGTTTTGCAGTGATTGTGCTTTTGGAGTATGTATGTGGATATGTATACACACATCACCGATACGATCACCGTTACCATTGCCGTTACCATCACCGTTACCAGGGTTCTTCACCTGGGTACCCAAAAATTTCGGCCGTGTCCGAAACCCTCTGATTAACCTTTCGGGGCCCTCCCCGAAAATTTTCCTGTCAGCCGGAGAGTGTTTTAAGGTACCCCGAAGCTGTCTGAAGCGGTTTTCGGGGTAAAATTTAGCTGGATTCTATCGTTATATGCTAGGACGGCTGAATTAACAGGTGTTTGACTTTATTTAGGAGCTTAGCTCCTAGGGAGAAATATTTCAGCAAGGATTTTACCCAAAGCCAAGGAGGCGCCGCTCCTCATCCACCTCTGCAGCAATCGCCTCCACCACACCTGCCACATCATCATCCGTCTCTCAGACGGGTACACCTCATCACTTGCTTCACTCTCGACCTCCTCGTTATCAGAAGGATAATAGGCCCCGGCAATTTCACTGCCCACACTGCCCTCATCATCACTCTCATCAGGCAGAACACAGTCGCCCACCTTGGCAAGACGGTGCAGGAGCACATCCGGGTTCTTTGCAACATACTCCTAAGCAGCTTTAAATCACAAGGGGTTGGCATTTCATATCCACGGTTGGACCGAGTAATCCAACACGCAGAAGGGAATCAATGGACGGGACAGCCAGCCGGTTATGCAGCCTGTTCTTGGTAATGCGGTGGACACTAAAGCCACGCTCAACACACGCTGTTTGAGTGGGAAGGACACAAGCGACATACACCAACTGAACCATGCGTGGAAAGAAGTGGACCCACTGATGCATTCCAGCCCAGGCCCGCTCCCAGGAGGTGCGGCCCAGCTCCAACTGCAAGGCCATCTTAGACTTCATAACTGAAAACTCTTTCTGCAAAACGTCAAGTTCGCTGACATCCAAGGCAAACAGGCGGTTCGAGCTTGCCGTAGCCGCGAATCCCGAGGGAGATGCGGGGCACCTTGGTTGGGCGCTCATCATCAATTGACTCGGGCATGTTTAACTATGCATATGCTTAGATGTATGAAAATGTGGCATATGGATATGCTTAGATGTATGAAAATGTCTGCGATACAGCTGCGAAACTGCCGCAATGCACATTTGTACTTGTTGTTTGACTGGTGACCAAGCGGGCCTTATACGGCAAGCCCGATTTCCAGGCCCCGTCTGCGCCCGAAAACATGACAGTTTACGCTGAAATATCGTTCGGTTTTCTCCGAAAATGCCTTCAAAAGGCTTCGGTGGGGTCCCCGAAAAAATGCTAAAAAGGCCCAAAATCCGTTCGGAATCCTCGGGCAAAACAGAAATATCTCAAAAAAGTTCGGGCCCGAATCGGGGTGAAGAGCCCTGACCGTTACCGTTGCCGTTACCATCACCGTTACGATTGCCGTTACCATCGCCGTTACCATTGCCAGGCGTTCTCATGTTCCAGCCCCACTCCGAGTATGTGTCCGGGCTTCGCTGGCTTGGTCGGGAAGCTGCCGTGGACCCATGTCGCCTCATCACCACCTCGTACGACGGGTCCGTCAGGTACGGCATGGGGTTGTTTGTGTTACAAGGTAAACCTAAAGCAAATCCTTTTTGAAGTTCTTCGAAAGCGATTTGCCCGCCTCCCGCCCATCGTAGCAGCAGCAGCTCCAGCTTCACCACCACCACCAGGTTTTCCACCACACTGGCTTCTTCAAAATAGTGGGTATTGTACGGCATTGTACGATAAAAGACAAACCGTTCTGGGGTAGGTCGCTGGCTTGTCCCAGGGACCGGAGGGCCTCCGTGTGGCAAGTTGACAGAGCTGCGAAATGAAACTTGCAGGGAGGTTCGGTACGTGCGCAGGCTCTCTTGAGCAATTTGCTCATGGTCGCCCCATGGGAAACTGGGAACGTGCACGAGTGTCAGTTAATTCGGATTTTGAAACCGTTGTAACGATGTTCTAAACGCTCTGTCCATCGTTTTCGGGTAGCATGCAGTTACCAGTTTAGGATGTTAAGCTAGAAAGCTGTTTGAATTCAAGTAAGCTTTAATCCCGTTACTCGTCCCTGTTGTCTATTTCACTTGGAAGTATGCACCCTTGCTTGCAAACGCTCATTCCTATTAAGTACATGAGTAGATAAAGGACATATTTCTTTCATCGATAACATACTTCAGTTGCGCGGCAATTCGGGTGCTAATGGACTCGGAGCCGCGCCATCGATGGGCTAGAACGTCATGACGGACCTGGGCCCTTCAGCTAAGGGCCTGAGAGCTCAGGACTCTGCACCTCCGGCTGCCGTTCCTCCCGGTGCTTTCAGCTGGGCAACTGTCCACTCGTTCAATGAGCGGGATGGCGGTCAGGTCAAAGCTGCCTGCGCTAGCGGCAACTACATCTACACCACCAGCCGAGCAGGAGTCAGGCGATGGGATGCGCTTACTGGCAGGTATCTATGGGCAGCGATGTTACACAAAGTTTTGGGCCCTCCCTCACCTCACCTCACCTCACCTCACATTCCTCACAAAAAAACAAATACGTCTTAAGTTTTAATTACACCCCGTGGCCCTTGCTGGCCCCTCTTGCCACGTCACCTTTTTGGATCCATGAGTTCAGACCCACCAAACCCCTGAGCCGCCCCTCTCCCCTCCTCCCAACCCTGTCCTCCCCACAAAACCCCCATGGCTTTAAACATCCCACCCCCCAAACCCAAATTGTCCCCGCAGCTCCTCCGACCTCATCCCCAGTGGCGTTCTGCCCGGTCTGGTTCACGCCATTGCGGTGGTTGGGCCCACCATCTGGGCTTGTACGGGGGATGGCAAGGTGGCGCTGTACGATGCCGTATCGGGGGAGCTGAAAGCCAAGGTAGGGGTAGGTGGGGGTAGGTGGGGTCCAGGCCCAGGGCAGGAAGGGACATGGCTGTCGTGATGGGAGGGAGGGGGGTGATTGGCGAGAGGGCTAGAGAGGGGTAAAGGATTGGGGGGGAGGTGGCTGGGGGAACGCGGTGGGGGGAAACAGATGCCAGGGAGCCGGAGGGCTTAAGTGCCGTAGGTGCCGTACGCAACCTGTAGGTCTGATCCCTTGGCTGGCAGTTGTTGGTTGGTACCCCGTACGTCCTTTCCCTTAAACCCCTCCTCCAACATCCAGGCCTAACCCTGAAGCCAAATCACAAAATGACGCACACATACACACACGCACACGCAATACCCCTGGGGCCCTCGCCTCGCCCTCTTTTCCCCCCCAGGCGTTCGCAGCCCACCAGGGGGAGGTGCTGTGTATCGCTGCTGGCCCGGGCAACTCGTACGTGGTCACTGGCGGGGTGGATTTCAACGTGAGCTTTGGTGGGAGGAGCTGCTGGGGCCCCGGGAGAAGGAAGAATTTGGGGGGGGAGAGGGAAAGAGAGGGAAAGAGAGGGAAAGGAGTGGGTGGGGTGCGGCACCCGGGGTTGCGCACAGCTCTAAAAAAAGCAGCCGTCATTATGTTTATACACACAGCAGCGTAACCACCTAACCGCCCAACTCCTAACCGAAATCCAAAACCGTACAGGCGAAGAGCTGGCAGCCCGACGGCTCCCCCATCGTTGCCGCCAAGTACCACCACGGCGCCGTTGAGTGTGTACTGATAACCCCCCTCGCGCCGCCGCCGCTGCCGCCGCCGGGCGGACCGTCCAGGCCCTCCTCGGCCACCTCCGGCGCCGCCGCCGGGCGGCCAAGCATGCGCGCCGCCGCCGCCGCCGCTATCGCTGCCGTATCCGCATCCATGAGTGCGGGTGCGGGGGGCGAGGAGGGGGTTGGCGGCGGTGGCGGGGGACCCCGCGTGGGGGGGGCAAAGGTGTGGACGGGTTCGGCGGATGGCACGGTGTTTTGCTGGCCGGATCCTGCCGGCACGGGCCAGATCAACGAGTCGGAAGGGAAGTCCATAAAGTTGGAAGGAGGGAAAGGTGAGGAGGGAAAGCTGGTGTATGGCTCTGTATGTGTGTGTGCGTGCGTGAATAAGCGAGTGGGTGGGGAGTGTACGGAATTATAGTGTGCGTTCGGGTACGGCACCTTAGGTACGGTAACTTAAGATATGGTGCAGGGCGGAAGCGGAAGATAGGATAAGTCAGGCCCGGTAAGGGGGAATCCATCCAGGCGCTGCTGTCCTCCATCTCTCCCCCTCCTAACCAGCTCTCTTCCCCCCTCTAATGCCCCTTTTCCCCCTTTTCCCCTTTTCCCCCCTCGTTCGTGGCTCGTCTTCCCCCCCTCTTCCCCCATCTTTCCCCCCTCTTCCCCTCCCCCCCAAACCCGGCACTCAGTGAAGAGCCTGACGCATTCGGCCGACTCCGTGTGGGTCGGAATGGACGACGGGCGCATTCACGTGTTGCGGCTGGGTGACGGTAGCCTGATTAAGACATTACGGGGGGCACACTCGGGACCCGTGCTGGCGTTACACCACGCGGCGGGGCAGGTGCGTGCGCGTGTGCGTGTGTGTATTTGTCTTCATGTATGTGCATCTGTGGGGGGCCTTCATGCATGATTGTATGTACGTATGTATGTGTATATCCCTCGTGTGTGCGCAGTCCCCCTTCTCTTTGTCGTGCTCTGCGTCTTGGTGTTGTCGATGATGCGTTGCTCTACCCGCGCATACATACGTACATACATACTTATATACGTACGTACGCACACATACAGGTTTGGAGTGGCTCCGGCGACAAGGTCATCTCTGTGTACGACGCTCGTCCCGGCCAGCCCCCCACCCCCCTGTTCAGTCTGGGAGACCAGGGGGGTTACGTGAAGGGGCTACTGCCGTGTGGCTGGTGTGTTTGGGCCTTCACTAGCGCCGCAATAAAGGTGGGGGGTGGGGGGGTTCGGGGGGAGGGAGAGAGGTTGTAGGTCGTACACCGGGGGAGCCTTGGTGTATATATGTATGTATGTATGTATGACTTAGATTACACTGTGGGCCGCGAGAGCCGGGGGCCGAAGCCGAAACACAGCGCAAGGGTCGGGAGCGTATGTATGTATGTATGTGTGCGCGAACGAGGTACAACAAGCTGAAAAAACTGACGCGTTCTTAATCCATTCCGTCGACTCCAACACACAACCTGCACTTTCCCCCCTCAACCGCCTTCCCGTTCCTCACGTGTCATGTGCCCCCTGTGGAAACCCCCTGATGATGAAAGAGTTTTAAAACCTCCAAAAGCCTTAAAAACGCCGCCTGGTTTCCCCGCCGCCGCCCTACCCCCCAACTCACACACGTACATACATACGCACGCACGAATACGCACGCACGAATACATACATACACACGCACACACCCTGGCAGATTTACACCTCCGAGAGCATTTGGCGGTGGGAGGCTGAACGGCTGGAGGCGGCACTGGCAGCACTGGAGGCAGCTCGGGCGGATCTCGCCGCGAGGAACAAGGAACTCTTGCAGGCGGGTGCTGAATCCCTTCCTCTCCCCCCCTACCCCCTACCCACCACCCATCCCATCCCATCCCATCCTTGAAAAAAGAAGCAACCCGCCTTCCCCAGGGGGTTTGTTCAACGGTGGTTCTAACTAACAACCGTTTCAACTACCATACACCACCCTTACCTGCTTTATCTTCCCTGCCTGCCTGGTTTATCCTTCCTTGCCTTATTGTCTGTCTGTCTGTCATTCTGTCTGTGTGCCCTCATCGAACCCCCCGGCCCCCCGCCTCCAGGCCAAGGACGACGTGAGTCGTTCATCTGCCGTGATGAAGGACGTCAAGGAGGCGGCGGTACGGCAGCAGCAGGAGGCGGAGGCGGCCATGCGGGAGGCCCAGGTAGGGGGCAGTGAGGGGGGGAGCAGGCGGAGGGAGGCGGCGGGAAAGGGAAGGGGTGGAAGGGAGTTGATGACGGTTGATTTTCATCCTTATATTTTTTATTAAAAGGATGCTGCGACCTTTTTCTGCAAATTTCCAAAGCATTTTTCGAATCACATTCAATTACATGAAATTTAAAAGTATATTATTTGGATTTCGTACAGGATAAGATCCAGGCGCTCCGTTCCCAGCTGGATTCTGCCACTTCGGATTTGGCGACCTGCCGTACAGAAGTGGACGATCTCCAACGGCGGTTGAGGGAGGCGGAGGAGGCGCTCGGGGCGGAGAAGGCTGGTCGGGGGGAGGCGGCGGCGGCGGCGGCGGGGGAGCTGGCTGTCGCCAGGTGGGGCCTGCTGATGGGGGCATGGCGGTGGGGGGTGGGGGGGTGGGAGGGAGGGGGACATCGGTGGGGGGGCCGACCGGGGGAATGAGGGTGCGGGTGCTTCGGGAAGCGGATTGCGGCACGCACACATACATACACACGTACATACACACGAACACATGGGGACCGGATACAGGGAGTAGTCAGACATGCAACACTTCCACACAGACAGACATTTCTTCTCGGCACGGGCGCCTAGGGGCCCCCAACATTTCCCCCCACCCCCCAATGGGCCACATTTCCCTACCTGCGTGGTTTCGTGTCGCGAATGCACAGGTCTCGGGTTTCGGAGCTGGAGTCCCAGTTGCAGTCCCAGAGACACCAGTTGGAGGGCCTTATGGCGGAGCGGGCGGGACTTGAGGTGGACAAGGCGACAGCGGTGGGTTTGGGTGGGTTTCTGGATCCAGGATTCATGGTTAGCCGTACCTGGGGGTTGTATTGCCTAGGAGGGCGGGTTTTATTTCGCCACAAGCGTAATGATGAACATAGCGTCGATCTCGATGCCCTGTTTGTACGGCCTTTGTACGGCAATCTTACTTTGAATGTGTCGTTCGCCGTACCTTGTATATCCCGTATTATGTTTATGTATTGTGAGGGAAAGGGGATGATGTGGGCCGCTGCATGATGGGGTTGCTGTTCGTTTTTTTGTTGTGTGTGTGTGTGTGTGTGTGCGCGCGGGGCGGGATGCGTTACTTTTTGCATGACCTCCCCCTCCTGCCCACTTCCTCCCCCTTCCCCCTTCCCCCTTCCCCCCTCCCCCCTCCCCTCCCGCCGTACCGCCCAAGGCCGCTGCCGCGGCTGCCAACCTGGATGACGTCCTCAGCGCCCGGACAGCCCTCGAGGCGGAGCTAGCTCGCGCCACCGCCGACCTGGAGTAGGTCCCGGGGGCAGGGGGACTGCGTGTGTGTATGTATGTATGTATGTATGTATGTATGTATGTATGTATGTATGTATGTATGTATGTATGTATGTATGTATGTATGTATGTATGTATGTATGTATGTGTGAAGGTTACAAGTATCTAACCGGGCCTGACACTGGCTGGCCAGGGGCTGCTGCCCAGCGCTAACGGAAAGACCGCCTAAGCTCTCTCCCGGACGGGCGAGGGGCGCGAGGGGGGCCTCTGTCCCCCCTCCTAAGCAGCCGGGGAGCCGCAGGTCCGCTAGCTCCCGCTCTCCTCCCCCGGGGGTGGGAGGCGTTGCACGCGCGTGTGTGTGTGTGTATGTGTGTGTGTGTGTGTCCCCCGCCCGCTGTCAGCTCCTTCGATCGATTGGTTGCCTGTTTTGGACATCCGCTGTTGCGGCTGTTGTTGATGCTGCGCCGCAAGCCGGTCAGCGGAGGAGGTCCCGCCGCCACCGCCAAACCCATATAACAAAACCACGACAACTACAACCCAAGACGTCCCGCCACTGCCCTGTTCGCGCTAATCCCACCTCTGGCTGTGTGTACGCATGTATGTATATATATGGGGGGGTGTTGTGCAAACAGGGTGGAGCGCAACGGTCGAAAGGCGGATGAGTTGGCCTGGCTCGCCCGGGAGGGGGCCCTGCGGGGGGAGATGGAGACGGGGATGGCGGCGGTGCGGGCGGCCGGGGAGGAGGAGGCGGGCAGGCTGAGGGATGATCAGTCCCGGCTGGAGGAGGAAGTACGACAGGTACGGAGAGAGGGAAGGGGAAATACACGATGACTACTTGAAGCTGCACGATGATGTACATATTTCTTACGCGTCACCCTTTTTTAGACTTTCTGAAGTCCAATGGAGTGACATGTCGTACAGCACACGCACATACATACGTACATACACAGGCGAAGAGCCCGTTACCATACCCCTATCCTGCCGCCGCAATCCGCCGTACAAACAGTTGTTGGGTCAGATGGCGGCATTGAAGGCGGATAAGGCCTCCTTGGAGTCAGATCTGGCAACTGTACGACAGACGGGTGACGCGGCGGTGGCGGCGCTCCGAGACCAACTGGCCCGCGTCCAGAAAGACCTGGAGGACGCCGGGTATGAACAAGTAATAATATAGGAGTGCCGGGCTTCACGTGATCGTACATTGTGTTTGCCGTACGGCAGCATTACACCCTGATGTGCCGTACATGGTGCCACGTACGGTGTGTTTGCTATTATCTTTGTATCGTCGTACATTGCCGTTTTCCTCTCTTCTTCCCCCACCAGCTACGCAGTTTCTCCATGCCTCACGTCCCCCCATCACCTCATACCCGCCCCCCCCGCCCCTTACCCCTTTCTTCCCCCCTGTCGTGTGTCGCCGCCGTCACAGCACTCGCGCCGCGGCGGCCGGTGCTGAGGTTGACCGACTTCGTACGGCAGTGGCGGCGAGTGAGGCGGCGGGTCGTAACGCGGCGAACATTCAGGAGGGGCTCAGACGGGAATTGGAGGAGGTACGGCAGGGAGGTGGGGTGGGGGAGAGGGTTTGGAAGTAGTACGACAGTGTGGGGGCAGGCGTTGCGGAGGGCGCACTGTCACTGTCAGCAACAGCACCACCACCACCACCATTACTTCACCCTTTACTTTTAAGTTAAATTGATTGCGTGTCTATTTTACTATATCTGCACTCGCCCAGTCGAATGCATCATCGGCCTGCCCCCTAAAATATAAAACAATACGTTGTGTGTGAGAGAGTGTGTGAGAGAGTGTGTGAGAGAGTGTGTGAGGGAGTGTGTTTCCTCCAAAAATTTAAGTTAGGATCTCTCCGGTTCCGCTTCCGGCGCGGCGCGATAACTGCTACGACTACTAAGAGGCCACGCAAGGACTATTCGAATGTATGTATGTATGTATGTACGTGTGCTTGCGCAGGTTCGCAGCCAGCTAACAGCGGCGGTGGCCCGCAGTACGGCAGCAGAGGAGGAGTTGCAGGGGAGCCGAGCGGCATTGCGGGACGTCCAGGGGCTCTTGGAGGGAAAGGTGGGGGGAAGGGAGGGAGCGTGTGTGTATGTACGGAGGGATGGGGAGATGGCGGGACGTGTATGGGGTTTGCGTACCCCCCACCCCACCCTCCGAACCATATGTAAAACCCTAAAACCCTAAAAACACCCCACACATACACATACACAAACCCTTCCCCCCTCTTTCCCCCCGCCCACCCCAACCCTCAGTCGGCCGACACAGCCTCACTCACCCACGAACTGGAGCAGACGCGCAGTCAGCTGACTCGGAGCGAGGGGGCGCTGAAGGCAGCGGAGCTCCAAAACGGAGAGGAGCGTGAGGCCAACCGACAAATGGCCAAGCAGATGCAGGTGGAGAGGTGTTTTTTTGCGTATTTCTTGCTTTTTGCATTTGTTTTACATTTTTTTGCTTTTTTTGCATTTTATTGGCTTTTATTTAATAATCCCTGGGCGCATCATGCAGCTTTCACATACAACATGAAAGAAAATGACGCAATGAAGCACGACTATACAATGAGGATAATTTGCGAATTTCTGAAATGTATTCTTCTTCTGCTCTGTTGCTGAGGCGTGCCGATCTGTGCCGTACGTTTTCGTACTGCATTCACGAACTGCCGTCGGTCCGTCGGTCAACCACCTCTTCCCGTCAGGCCCAACTCGAGGATCTCCGAAATCAGCTCCAAGGATCCGAAACCAAGACCCGTAATGCCGTACATGAGCGGGACGAGCTCCAAAACCAGCTTGAGGCGGCGCGCGCACAGGCCGCCGAGCTGGCGGCACGGCTGGCGGCGGCGGCGCAAGCGGCGGCGGCTCAGGAGCAGCGGGTAACGGAGGCGGCGAGTACGGCAGAGGGGCTCAAACGTCAGCTGGCGGAAGGTAGATAGAAGTGAGGGCTGAATGATATGGGGGATGACTCATCTTAGATACCGGCTGGTAAATTTTAAATTTTGGAGCCAGGGGATGTAATGTAATGTAATGGCACCTGAGTAGGTTTTAGCGGTTTTCGCAGTTTTAGGGATTTAGGGTTTATAAAAAGTTATGTACTACATCACTATGTATTTGTCAATGCTATTTGAATGTACTGCAAACGACATAATGCTGTGTACGGATTCCAGGTACGGATCAGCTTGCGCGGGTTTCCAGTCGGTGTGAGGACCTGGAACGGCAGCTGAGTGATGCCGTACGGCGGGCTGCGGATGTGGAGGCCCGAGCCGCAGCGGAGCAACAGGTGATGCGGGGTTTGGATTTTTTTCTCAAAACGGAAAACGTTGTCAATAAAGAGTTTACATTTATTTATTAGCATCGGGGGCACTAAGCAGCGGGATACATCAAGGCGTACCTGGCAAAGCTCAAGCCTGCACGTGTATGTTTGTTTGTGTGTTCGTGTTCGTGTGTGCGTTTTTAAGTCTTGGTGTGGTTTGGCGGGTGAGCAAACGATTTGACGGCCATGGCGGGTGCGAAGATATTAAAGTGTATGTATGTTTGTATGTTTGTAACCCAATTCGTTGAATGTTCATCGCCCGTGCTGTTGGGGCCCCCGAGGGGACGACTTAACGACCCCAACGACCCAGGCGCGGACGGAGGGATGAACCCGGGTTGGCTTTAGTTGGGACATTGGCTGCAGCAGCTGTAGCTCCGATCGCTGTCTGCAGCGCCGTACATCTATGCATTTGCTAAACTGCTTTTCACCAACCGCCACAACAGTCCAACCGCTTCTAACCAACAACCTCCAACTGTATCTCAACCCCACAATAGGAACTGAACGCACTAAGAGCCCAGGTGGCAACGTTGACGGCGGAGGCGGCGGCCACGGCTGCGGCCGCCCGCATTCGAGAAAAGATGGACGAGGTACGGCACCTGGATTTTGTCGTACTTAATGTACGGATGTAAATGCACGTGCAGCACAACATCTCATTTGGCGTCTGCATGCGTTGTGGTTGTGTGTGCGTGTGTACTTTATGTGTGTATATTACATTATGTGTGTTGCCTCTCCTGTGCCCCGCCCACCACCACCCGCTCCAGAATCTTCTATGTTGGTTCACTTACACATTTTTTCTCCCTCGTAGCGAATCTGTCCACAGCAAGAGGATAAAAGATTAAAAGGGCTATTACAGCCGCTGCCTTATGTGCCGTACACTTGCGGTACTACTGCTGTCGTACAATACAGGAACTTGACCGGCTCCGAAACCGCATCCGCGATGTGGAAAGCCAACTGCCGCGTCTGGGCGCGGCGGCGGCGGCGCCGCCGCCGCCACACGCGGGGGCGGCGGCGGCGCTCGTACCCAACATCGTCATCCACGCAGCTGCCGCCGCCGGCGGGCCAGCGGCGCCGTCGGGGGAATATCCCGCTGCCGGTGCATCGCCATCGCAACCGCTGGTGGTTTTGCAGCCGCCGCCAACGCCGCCGCCTGGCGACAGCAGCGGCGTCGGCGGCGGCGGTGGTGGCGGCGGCGACACCGCCAGCACTTTACAGGATTCGGAGCGTGAACTTTTCCGTCAGCAGGTAAACAGGAATATACGATTTAAAGTTTTAGGAGGCCGTGCATGACTTGAAATATTCGGCCTCACTTCCGCCGCCGGCTCGCCATCATCCTATACTACCAGCTTCTCCAGACGTGAAACCCTATAACAAAAAAATCAAACCCTAAAACCCAGAAATCCCAGGAAACCAACACACACACCCCCGGAACCCATAAAACCCTGCCCCCGTACAACCCTGCTGGGCGGCCCCCCCGCCAGCTCGACGCCCTCCGTGTCAGCAGCCAGGCTTTGGAGGGCCTTATGCGGGGCCTCCAGAGTACCATTGAGGGTGTGAGGGCCGGGGCAACACCACCGGGCACCAAGCAACAGCACCAGGAACAGGCGGAGCAGGAGGAGGAGGAGGAGGTGGCGGTGGCGGCGGCGGCGGCGGCGGCGCCTGGCGAGGGTCCCGCTGCCGCTACTGCTGCTACTGTTGCCGCCGCCGGTGCTGACCCCGGTGCTGAAGCGGCGGCGGCGGCAGAGCTGGCGGCGCTTCACATAAAGCTCCGGGTGGGTGTGTCGCAGTTGCGGGTTCTGCACTGCTGCCGTCTCCTACGGCCAGTCGAGGAAGAATATTCCTGGAGAAAATTGTACGGTAGGATGTACGAAGGGAGGTGCTGTGTTTTTTGTGTTGCTTACATGAGCACCTGGTCCAAGTGTGGCGGTGGCCTCGTGCTTCAAGGACGCATCATGCGCGCACCATTATGACCGAGGCCAGCCGCCCCCGGCATTATTGGCCGGTCCCGGTGCTTTTTCTGGAAAGGCTGGGACGTTGCGGGCCAGGCACGTTGCGCTAAGCTAAGCTAAGCTAAGCTAAGGCACTTCGCGCGGAAGCGGAGGAGGGAGGACGACGGCGATGGCCCCCCCGAGTACCCGCAACATCGAAAATACCAATTTACCGTCCATGGGGGGCCCCCTCAGGCTTTTACGGACAACCCCGCATATGTGTGTGTGTGCGGAGAACTTGTAATTTGTAACCTGTAACTAACTTGTTTGTGTTCGTGGCCCCGGAATCCTCAAAATTTACATTTGATTGCACACTGGACTTAAACCCGAAATAAATAAACCAGTTTAAAACCATAAAACCTGCGAACCCCTACCTCTACCTCCCCACACCTGGCTAGTTTCTCAATCTATTTTCTCCCCGACTTCTCCCCCTCCCCTTCCTCCCCCCCCTTCCCCCCCTCCTCCTCCTCCTCCTCCCCCTCCCCCTCCTCGCCACCACCGTTCAGTCCCTCACCTCACAGCTGGAGGAGGTCACCGCCGCCAGGGACGATCTCCAAGGCGCGCTGACGTCATGTCAAGGGGAACTCAATGAGGTGCTGGAGGACAGGTGAGAGGTTTTACAGTTTTAACAGGGTTTTAGAGTTTAAGGGGGGTTGGATGTAAAAATGTAAGGGCGGCGGGGGAGGAGGACCATCGCAGCTCCCTCCAAGGCCACATGCGGGGAAGAAGGACCCAGGTTCAGAACTTCTATGTCGGACCTTAACCTCATACGTCGGCGTCCTCCTCCCAGGTATCAGTTGCAAGTGGCGCTAAGGGCGGCTCAGAAGCAACTGGTAGATGCGCTGGCGGCGGCGACGGCGGCGGCGGCAACAACAGCGGCGGCGGCGGCGGCCCCACCCGGAGGACCCCCCGGCTCCGAAACCGCTGCTCGGCTCCTCATCACACAACTGGAGGCGGCAATGCGCGAGACCAAGGGCGACTACCAGCGACTGTTACATGGTAGGGGGTGGTGTGGTGTGGTGTGGTGTGGTGTAGTAACTGTCGTACAGGACGGCACACACACCGTCAACAATGATGTCATCATCGCCGCCCGCCATCGTCTTTACTGATTTCGTCACCGGCCTTCCCAGCAGGCAGCCGCTATGCGGGGCTGCTCGCTGCCCACGTAGAGCTGCTAATTCTGCTAGTGTTTTGATTGTGTTGGTTGTGTTGTGTTGCCGTACCGGTGCAGAGGTGGCCACTATTCGCGGGCAAATGAGCGCCAAGGACGCGCACATCGCCAAAATGACGGCGGAGCTGGCAGCTGCCACCGCGAGGGTGCGGGTTGTGGGGTTGTGTAGTGGGGTTGTGTAGTGGGGTTGGGCAGTGGGGTTGGGTGTAATGGGGTTGTGTAGTGGGGTTGTGTAGTGGGGTTGTGTAGTGGGGTTGTGTAGTGGGGTTGTGTAGTGGGGTTGTGTAGTGGGGTTGTGTAGTAGTGGGGTTGTGTAATGGGGTTGTGTAGTGGGGTTGTGTAGTGGGGTTGTGTAGTGGGGTTGTGTAATGGGGTTGTGTAGTGCGGGTGGGTACAGGTGGGCATGATGAGGGTGGGCTCGGTAGTGCGGGTGGGTACAGGTGGGCATGATGAGGGTGGGCTCGGTAGGTAGATAAGGTGGTTAGTTGGTTAGTTGAGCACCCGAGCACGTCAATCCACCAAACCGCCAGCACGACCGTCGTCTCACTTAAAAACCTTCCCCTGCTCCTCAGGCTGGAGAGGCGGACCAGCTACGCGCCCAGGTGGCCCTTATGGAGTCCAAGTTAGGCAACATGAGTCGACATCTAGCGGAGAGCGAGGCAGGTCGGCGGCTGTTCTCGGAGCTGGAGGCCACGCACAACTCCATGCAGCGCCGGCTGGCGGCGGCGAGAGCATCGGACGAGATGTACAACAACAATAGCAGCAATAATATTAACGGCGGCGGCGGCGGCGAGGGCGGTGGGAGCGCTGGGAAGGGTGGTGGAGGGGCGCGGAGGGAGCGAGAGAGGCACTTGCCGCCTACGGGGTTTTTGTGAAGGGGGGAGTGGGAGGAGGAGGAGGAGGTGGAGGAGGAGGTGGTTGTGGTGACGGATTGTCAGTTGTTGTTGTTGAGGGGAGCAGGTGGTTAAGAGAAAGTTATAATGGGGGGATGTAGGTGCAGTCTCGTGCGACCGCTGACGTGGTTTGGACCGTGGTCCTAAGGTGCGGTTAGGGGCCAGCTGGGGTGCCCCGGAATCCGGAAGCTCTCTGACCAAACGGCACACGACGAGGCGCGGGGTAGCCTCGCGCCCTGTAGGGGGCAAGGGGGTTGGGCGATTGGGGGATGGTGGGAAACCCGGTGTGTGCGTGTGTGTGTGTGTGTATCGGCACGTGGTTGACGAGACACCGGCGTTGAAAACGACCTTGTGTGGTTGCTTGGCGGTTACAGGAATTTCGAAACTTTTGAGCAGAGCTTTGGGCAACTTTTGGGCATTCAGAGGCTTCATGTGCATGGCTGTGGTTCTCAATGGCGCATGTCGTCCCGCCTTCCCCTACCGGCTCCCTCTCTCTCCTCCACTCGCACTATTTATGTATATATTTTATGTTGGTTTTTATATTTATTTACGTTGATATTTTCATGACGCTGTGTCAGCACGGCATGAGCGTGTGTAATGTGGGTCTGAATGCCGTACACTAGGCAGCTGCATGACGGGATTTGAGCGCCGTACACTGGAGTTAGTAACGAGGACGAGTGGAGTAGTGGGTTAGACTGGTGGGGAGGGCTTCCGTCAGGTTGGGACAGGAGATTGAACATGTATGCCGGGACTGGACGGGTTGGGGGGCCCTGTCGATTTCCAATTCCCGGTTCTCTCTTTTTCTCTTCTCTTCTTTTCTCTTCTTTTGCACTCTCCATTACGCATCGTTTACTATCCATTGAAGCGCGCCCTCCGCCGCACCGATGTCTCCTTTTTTCCAAGGCTCTTACTTTTCTTGGATCAAATCGCCGTATGCTGAAGTCTTCATACCTCCCCCAGCCGACCCCTCGCGCCGGGCCTATGTCCCCAACGTCCCTTCAGTCCCGACATCTGATCTGGTCATGTCGAAAAGTACCCCAGTTTCCGGTAATACACAGGAGGGTAAACCTGATGCAACTGAATCTGAACACACAAACACATATACGTGCATACATACATACATACATGCATACATACACACCCATCATCACGACCCCCTACGGACCACCGAGCGACTGCTTGTCATTCCGCCTCCTCCCCAAGCTCCTCCTTCATCCCAATGTCCCCCCTCAAAGCATCTATTTCCATCTCCGTTTTCGACATGCCATCTATTTTGTGTTGTTGTTGGTGGTGGTGGTGGTGGAGGTGGAGGTGCCCTTGCGGCGGCGCCCCCTCCTCGCCGACGTCATCGTCGTGACGCCGTGACGGTGGTTCATCGTCATTGGCTTGCCGTTGCCGCGCCGCTCTCCGCCGAGCGACCTCTCCCCTCCGCCTGCTCGGACCGGCGAGTCTCTTGCGTTCCCTCTTAATCATGAGTTTGAGGATGGCTTCCTCGGCCTGTGGCGCCGAGTGGTAGGAGCAGTAGTTGCAACCGCCATCGTCGAGCACCAGGCGAAGTAGCAATTGTTGCAGCAGCAACAGCAGCAGTAACAGTAGCGACAGCAGCAGCAGTAGCAAGGCGGAAGCCATTGTCGAACCATGGTAAAGGGCGGGAGGTGATGGCAGAGAGGGCGCCACCGCCGGGGCACATCGTGGCAACAGCCGTGCAGCACGCGGCAAGTAGGAGGCAGTCAGCAAATCAGTGGTTGAACTTCATCGCATGCAAAGGACAAAAGCAGCGAGTGACGCAGTGCATAGTGGCACGTAATCCCCCTCGGGACCTACGACGACATGAGTTTTCACGACATCCACCGCGACGAGGGGGAGACCGAAAGCTATGGGAAGGAGGGAAGGAAGAGATAGGAGAGAGAAAAAGAGAAAGGAGGAGAAGGGGGAACAGAACAAAATGCACGAGGGCACCAAAAATCAGGAATTTGGAACTATTCGCCATTGCCAGGGCGGGAAGGTAGGTGGTTGGAAGCGTACTGCTGATGGAAGAGTAAATATGTGAAGTTGCTGATAGGGCTTGGGAGACACATAGCTACATACATACATGCATACACACGGTGATGCAGGCAACATTAATCAGAAGCTTGGTTTCGGAGCTGCATCTGGGTTGCGGTGGGAGTGTGGGAGGCGAGCTGTGTGCATGCACGTTGTGTCAGACGTGTATGAAAAAGCCCTGGGGCAGGGGGGGCCCTGCTAAGTCTAACGGTCGTGGTGGTGGAGAGCGCGGGAAGATGGATGGAAGCATTTTCAAAGGCAAATTGGGGGTGCGTTTGGTTTGCCGGTGAACAGTTGCGAAACCCGAGCTGGGCGCGAGGCTGTCTAGGGGAGACAAGTAGATTTGATTTAGGCTTTTGGTTCAATCCAATGACCCATGCGTTGACCTGCCGATCACGGCATGTTCAGGGAGGGCGTGAACGGAGAAACGTGGGAGGGGGGTGAAGAGCAGTAAAGGAAGTTGGCTTGGTTGCGACTGGCAGCTGCGTATCTGGTTCGTAAGCGGGAAGCCTCGCTCGAGCAGTACGTAGCAGTCTCGTCCATTCGATGACATTACCTGGAGCTTGGCTAGCTCCTGGCGAAGAACACGCTGCAGCTTTTCGATGGAATCCTGCTGTATCTTAAGGGCGCCTGGAATCGCCTGTAAGGAGTAACCGTGTTAAACATTGTGTCGAGCATATAGATCAGGCGAAACATGAGCAACCTGAGGATGAATTCCTGCAGTCCAAGTGCCTCCCGGCGAGATATTTTCGTCATCGTCTGGCATGCTTCTAAAGTATAGGTCACATATCTATCAAAGAAAAGCCTGGTAAGAAGAAGCCTAAAACAGCCCTAACACATAAACCACCTATTTCCTTGTACTAGTGACCCTAGTAACCTTGAGTCAAGGATCAGGAGGCTTCATGGCAGTTAATTCTCTGTACTTGCCACACGCCTTGCCTTGCAGTTGAGCCCAACTTGGCATTGCCGTATTTGCCAGTAAGGCTGAGTAAGGCTCAATAATGATACCAACATGCAGTATTCGATGAACGTCAAAAATTGGCTAAGTCACAGGTAAAGACATTGAGGTGGATAAGTGCAAAAATGGATTACAATGCCCCACGCGTTTCACGTGGCTAGATGTACAAGGGCGATGATAATAGAGCCGCCATTAATGAGACACGTTTATTTTTGCACTTTATGGAATATTCTGGGCCTCTGACCCAATGCTGCGCAAGTAGAATTCGTTTCTCGTCACGGAGGAAACCGCCTGCTCCAACGGCGTGGGCCAGTAAAAGACAGGAGGGACGCTATGCAACTGGACTCATGTCGCTGTTCGTTTTTGTTTCTAGCATTCGCGGCTGTTCTCATGGGTTCGGCTGTGGCCACTGGGGTGGACTCAGACATATGGCAGGACCACAACCGTTTTCTTCAAGAACAGGCTTCGTCGCATGAGTCGTCACGTAGCACTGCCAGCTACACCGCGTCTGACTTTGTCCTTTTAAATGGGTGAGCCTTGGGGACATTACGTTGGGGTATGTCAGACTTGCCTCGGCGGCTAATTCCTCAGAATGCGTGTTAACGGTGAGTAGATTGCCTACTAACACCAGCCTTTGGTTCCTTTGTGCTCCTAACCTACTCGCGGCGGCTTTCAACGGTCACAGCTTCCTAATTTGTAAGTGTTCGAATTCTCGGTTGTTGAATGGCGCTTTGCCAGGTGCCTAACGTTCCATAGCCATGTACATATCGTTAGTTCAATTACGCTACCTCCCCGGCTCAGGCGCCATACGGCTTCGGCACCCGATGGCGTCACGATGACTCCAGTTACTTTTGACGCACATAAAGACGCGTCACACACATATGGCGCGACAACGCCGCTACCCTGACTCTTTGCCGGGCGCCTCCCTCTTCCCTCGCATCCCGACTCGCGCAGTCTTCATGCAAATCGGCTTTGTCTCGGCAGAAAGCGGACAGGGCCGCGCAAAAAATGTACGGAACATCTTGCTTAAGGTACGAATCGTGTATACAACCTTTCCCAACAGGCCCCCTTATTCCCCTATTAAATCGGCCTTCCCGAACACCCCCAACCCCCAAAAGCCCCCACCTCCGCGCAAACAAAACAACAAGAAAGGAAAAGTGCCCCCAAAGCACGCGGGTGAGGGAAGGGGAAGGGGATGCGAGGGCACCAGGAACCAACAAAAACGTAATTTTCCTGCAATGTATGACGTCATGGCGGAGGAGTCAGATCTGACAGAGTACTCGCAAAGTGACCAATACGGAAGACACAGCTGGCGCCGTACACTGTACAACATCCAACCGACACAACCGCTTTGCAATTTGAACGCAGGAAACTTAGGGTTTTCGCAGTTGTCAGCCTCTCGCGTGGGCAAAATCCGACAAAGTGTTATTAGTTAAACTTTTGCTTCTTCAATCCTTCCTCCTCCTCCTCGTCCTCCTCCTCCCTCTCCTCCTCCAACTAAATCCAAAATCCAAATCCAGTTAACCGATCCGGCTGTGTCCTGGGGCCTCTCCCCATATGACCGTCGTATCGTTTATACGGAGAGGCGCTTGTACGACACCCTAAATATCCTTCAGGTTCTCCCACATGGCCTCCAAACTCCGTACGGTTGTTGGACAACCTTAGGGTTTGTGTTTGCTTTCCCCTCAACCCCCGGGGGACCTTTGAAAAATTCTGGATCCTGTCTCAATCCTGTGGTCAGAATTCCGTCAACATCATGCTGTGCGCGATCTGCTGGTGGGCGGTTGGTTACGCTTTTGCCTACGGCAAGACGGCTGGAGGACTCTTAGGGTGCGTACGACGTTAGTACGGCATTTGCAATCATGGGCATGACACGAGGGAGGGTCCTCCCCGGGGGCGAGCGCCCACGCGGTGTTGTGCTGGTTGCTGTAGTTGTGAGGGCTAAATGGGCGCGTGGCCGTCGTTTGGGACGGTTTGTACGGATAACAGTTATTTCAGTTATAGTCCACTTTGCATTTTTTGCTCCATTTTGGACTTATATGAACATGTGACATTCCAGCCTTCGCTACTGCCGCTACTGCTTGCTGCTGCTTGTCTATCGCTCTCCCCTCCGTCATCCGCCTCCGCTGTGACGCTGTCATCTCCCCCTCAAATTTGGCCCCCACAACTCCTTGCTCTGGCAGCAGCTTCAATCGTGTGTGGTTCGTCTTTCCCCCACAACTCCACACGCAAAAAAAATCCCCGGAACCCCCCCCCTGAGCAGAAAACCAGCCTTAAAACTCGAAACACCTCCCTCCATACACACACGCGCGCCTTTCCCCTAACGCACATACATACCGCAGCATCTCTCACTTCTTCAGTGATGGGGAGACGTTCGATTCCAAGCCCTGGTTCTTCACATGGACGTTTTGTTTGTCGGCCGTAACTATCGCATCTGGGTGCCTCGCGGAGAGGACACACCTCTTTGTCTACCCTGTCTACACGGTGGGTCTCGGGTTTTAGGGTTTTAGGTTTAAGTTGGTGCTTTGGGTTGGGTTTTTCCTTGTTTTTTTTCAAAGTTGTTGTTGTTGCAATCTGCTGTGTTTTTTTTCAGGTTTCTTGTTGTTGCAATCGTCCGTCTTTCACACCTGCAGGCTGAGTTCGTTGTTTCTTCCCTCAGGTACGAAACCCGCATGATCCCCCTTCCCCCCTTCCCCCTCCTCCTCCCCTCCCCTCCCGTTTCCATTTTCCCGCCCTCGCTCCGAAGGCGGTGGTCAGCATTGTCGTACATCCTGTCGTGGCCCATTGGGTTTGGGGTAAGGACTCGTGGCTCAACTCCCGAGTCGGGTCCCCCTGTCGATTCTTGGATTTTGCGGGAGGCGCTGTCGTACATATCGTGGGTGAGTTATCGTGTCGTATATCGCCGGGGGAAGGGTGGGGGTGATAAAAATGAGGAGACGATGCAAAAGGGAATTTCAGAATTTTATTATGATTTATTGATTATATCCCTGTTATTATTTTTTGTGCCTTGCGGGGTGAGAGAAAGTGGAGGGGGGAGGTTGGTGTGGCTAGCTAGGGTGTGTGATGTACGAACGGCGAAGATGCCTGAAAGGGAAATCCAAGGACGAGGAGGGGGAGGATGAAAAGGAGGAGGAGGAGGGGGACCGGGGACACTCCGGATACAGAGGAACAGCGGGTTTCGGAGCTCCCTTGCTTTTAATTGTACGCTAATAAAGCATAATGTCACTACATTTTCAAATACCAGTTCGTTCATTATGTTAGTAATCAAAAAAATGTTATGCCGATTATTTTAGGGTCTTTTATTATCTAAATTGACGGAACCCATCGATTGCTGTCACTGGCTGACCCATGGGTCGCTGTGGGGGTTCATTCCACTTCGCTACCAGGCGGCCTAACGGGCCTTATCGGCGCCATACTTTGCGGCCCCCGGATGGGCCGTTTCGAAGACGGAGTCCAAAAGGATATTCCGGGGCATGACGTATCGTCCGTCAGCCTCGGATCGCTCATGTTGTGGTTTGGCTGGTGAGCTCGGACCGGTTTTTCAGGGTTCCAGGTTCTAGGTTGGGGCTGCTGAATTCGAAATCGGTTTTTTTTTAGTTTTTTAAGTTTTTTAGCAAAGATGATGAGCATTATGCGTTGTTTTTTTATGTGGAATTCGCCGTATCTTCTTCCGCTCCTTCTCCTGCTTCCCTCCTTCCCAACGCATCAATGAGTGGTTTGATGGATGAATGTTTAATTTAATACTTCCTTTATTGTTTATTAATGATTAATTTAATACTTAATTAATTTTTATGATTTAAAAATGCAGGTTTGGATTCAACTGCGGCTCCACGTATATCTACATGTCGGACGGGGGCCCGGCGGCCTCCTCTGCCGTGAGCCGGGTCGCACTCAACATGACGCTCTGCGCGAGTGCTGCGGGTATGACCTCGCTGGTGCTGGCGAGCTTGCTGTCCGGTGGGTCAGCCGGTGGGTCCCCGGGGGTTAGGGGTGGATCTGGGTTTTACGGTTTAAAGCGGTTGGATCTGGGTTTTTAGGGAGCTGATTTGGGTTTTAGGGTTTGCTTTGGGGCAAAGGTGAGTATAGGGGAAAGGGGCTGTGCGCACTCGAAGGGGCTAATTTTGACGGGGGGTTCGGGGGAAACGTGTGTGTCTGTGTCTGTATGTGTGTCGACGTCGGGGAGTACGTGACATGATGACCCCCTTTTTCGGCAATCGTGCACTTTTCTGCGCATAATACGTACGTCTCCTGCTACCGCTGCTGATGCTGCTACAGGTACCTTTGATTTGGGGGTTTGTTGTAACGGCTTGATGGCTGGCCTCTCCGCCTCGACTGCCAACGTCGGGTTCATCACCCCATGGGCTTCGTGCATAACCGGCACGTTGGCGGGTTTGTTGTACGTTGCCAGCTCCCGGCTGCTTGTACGGCTGGGGATCGACGACCCCCTGGACTCGAGCGCCATTCACTGCGGATCTGGGCTGCTGGGGGTGGTGATTAGCGGCTTTCTTGCTCGTCCGTCGTACGTACGGTCCATGGTCGACAAGAATTGCGGCGGACTTGTGTACGGCATGAATGGCGGGACGCAACTAGGCATGCAGCTATTAGGCAAGTACTGTCGTATTTCTGGGAGGAATGGTTTTGGGGGAAAGAGGGGAGGGAGAGTTATGACCTTATGGGGGGGATTGAGGCGATGGGTGAAAAGTGATCCATGGGGGAGCTATGTCGTACGGCGTACGTCGTACGGAAGGGCGGGAGGGGTTTTCCAAGTCCCCCGGGCAGGGCACCGGCTGGGAGGTTTTCCTCCCCGTTTTTCCCTCTCCCTCTCTTCCCCCCTTCTCTCACATCCACACGCAATACACACGCAACAATGCACCTTCAGAAAGCCGTTTTACTTTTTATTGCGGGGGAATTCCCACACGCACAAAAAACGACCGCACGACGTCATCCTCGTCTCCTCATCTCCTTTTCCCAGCTTTCCAGAATTGTTAGAACACATACACACGCACATACACACGCACACGCACCCGTCCTGGCCCCCCAGGTCTCCTCGTCACCATCGCCTGGACGGCTTTATGGAGCATCCTCGCCTTTTCGACCCTAAAACGCTTTCAGCTCTTGCGTGTCGACCAGCAAACAGAGCTGGCAGGCATCGATAATATGGAACACGGCGGCCCAGCGTATCCAGAGTTTTTGCAGCGAGTGCAGAGCTCCAGAACTGGGTTTTAGGGTTTTAGAGATTTGCAAGGGTTTTTAGTCGTAGGGGGCGTTTCATGTAGGGCGTTTACTGCAAACACACACGCACACACATAAACGCGAAGTGTGCGTGCGCGGTTTTAATTTAGGGTTTAGGGTAACGTGGCTTCCTTGAGAAGGCTGTAGCCCTGACGTACAGGCGCGTCCTAGTTCACTGGAGGAGCCTTTAGCCGTTTCTCTAGTTGTAGCTGCAGCCGTTACGGCGCAAGCGGTAGCCATTTGAGTTTTTTTGTAGAATGCTTGCCAACAACAATAATAAGACCTGGTCTAGTAGCAATAGCCGGAAGAAGAGTGGTTGCTGCTGCTACAGCCGCTTTGAGCTGTTTTAGGGTTTTGGCAGTCCTCGTGGTACAGCTGTGTAGCCTGGCTTCCGGCATATACGACAGCTAAGGCAGGTAGGGGGGAGAGGGGAAGGCCTGCGAGGGGGGGGAGGGGTTGTGGAGGAGTGATAGGGAAATCTGAGGGTTTATGTGGGGGCGAGGGTTTAGTGTACGAGTTGTACGAACGGGGAGAGGGAGTCGTTGTCCGCTTCTCCTGTCTCTTTCCGCGTTTTTAGTGGTATAGGACGGGCAGGATGCTGAGTTTCGTTCGCGTATGTATGTATGTACGTATGTATGTGCGTATGTATGTGCGTATGTACGTATGTATGTATGTACGTATGTATGTATGTATGTGGTGAATGTCGAGGGACGTCAGGTTTAGGGTATGGGCTTTCGAAAGGTATTCTTCTCTAGTTGGGCGCAACTGCATAACCAGGACGAGGAAAGGAAAAGCGAAAAAGAAAGAATAAAATGCGTAACGATCGTACTCGTACTGCGGCGGTTGTCATGGTGGTGGGTGTCGCATTCTGTGGCTCTCTGGCTGTGCTTGAAAAAGTTAATGGGTGTTTCAACGATGGTACGACATGAGGGTGTAGTACGACATGAGGGTATGGTACGACGTGAAAAGGTTTACGTCTAGGAACCCGTAAACGTAAAACCTTATTCTAAAACTTGATGACGCACGAGGGGGGGGTGGAAACGCACTAACAAATCTAAAGATGAGAGGGCAGCGGAAAAAACCCGGGACCGTACGAACAGGTACACAAGGGTACGAATAATTAAAGGAACGGGATTTTTTGTTTTTTCCTGTCGTCAAATGGAAATGGAGGAAGGGGGATTTTCTGGCGGTTGGGATCGTTCGAACGGCGTACGGTTTTTCTGCGGTGGTTGAAATGGGCCGAGCACCGTATATTGTACGTCTTCCTCGCGGCGCATTTAAGTGTGTAGTTTGTATGTATGTACGTATGTATGTATGTGTGTATGCGGCTGGACATCTAGCATTGCGCAGGCATGTAGAGGCACGATGAGTGTGAGTAGCGATGAATGGCGAACAGGGGAGAGGGGGTTGGGGGGGTCGGGCTGAAGTGACGATTGCCGTACTGGAAGGTTGGTGCTACTGCTGGCGTTGGTGTTAATAATAATGATGATGATGATAACAAGTACGGGATATGCACGACTAGAAGGCGGGAGGTAAACGACATGGCGTTCGCTTGGAGAAGGCGGCTGCTTGTACTACATAACGTGCATCCGGAGTACGACATAACACCCTGCTGAAGAGTCTGGCCCATGTCGCGGCGCGACAGCTGTGAGGTGGGGTACGCAGTTGGGGATTGAGGCTCACGGTGATCAATGCGGCATATGTGAATCTGTATTAAGCATGTATGTATGTATGTATGTGTTGCGAGGGAGCCAGCCGCAGGGGGGTTGCTTTCCGGGGCGGGGGGCTGCGAAACCCGACCACGGTGTTTCATTGTCTCCTGTACCGGGATGCACCGGGAGGATGCTGACGCAAGCTTGTGTGTACGGCGCCTTCGCTTTTTGGGTCCATTCGGGTCGGGGTTGGGGTTGGGGGGGTTCACGGGGGTTTATGTTGTTGCACCGCTACAGCTACAGCTACAGCTACCGCGAGGCACTTGGCGTGTCCTTGCTTTTCGTCGGCATCGTCGTTTCTCACCCATCATTAGCACCATTATCATCGAGGTCAATATCATGTGTCTTCACTATAGTCGAATTTCGCATTTTTTTTGCTATCGGCAGCACCACCATCGTCATCGTTTATATGGTCCCCATGATTTGGCAACCAACAAAATATTATAATATTAATTGCAGCGCAGTAGAGCATTAATGATAATAAATAATAATAGTAATAATAAACTGTAATAGTAATAATAAACTGCGAACGGGTTTAGGGAGGGGCCAGGGGTGAACCTCATGGAAGAAAACAGTCTTCTGGCGGTACGGCATGTTTTTTTGAATTTGAATTTTGGGCGGGTGAATGATGTGTATGGCTATTATATGGATAAGTGAGCCCTTGTACCGACGCTTTTACATGACGACAAAAAATAACGACAACAACGATGCGGGTGAAAACAACAACGACAACAGAGGCCTGTACTGCATGAGACGATGCATACATACATACATACACGCGCATCTTTGTGCGTCGGGTCCTTCTCCCGTCCCCTCCGTGTGTGTGTATGCGTATGTACGGGTCCACGTTCGGTTGGTGGTTGCTATAGTACGGGTAGTATGGACGATGATGATGATTCGTGTGTGTGTGCGGGGTGATCTAAGACGTAAATATGTGTATCTGTACACATGCACGTATGTATGTACACACGTTTGTATGTATGTATGTATTGTGCTGCTGGACGGCGAGTAAAATCCTCGTTTTCGCCGGTAGTGGTGGAAAGTATACAATGTTGGGTACGGCATGTACGGCTGTTGGTAAAATGGAAGTATGGCCCAATTCAGGGATGGTATTTTCCGGACCGATCTTATTTGTACGGCAGTCTTTCCGTACGAAAGGCTTTCCTCGGTGCTGTGTGTATTGCACTGCTTTTGCTTGCCTTTCGCGAGGGCGCCTGTGTGCGTGCACGCGGATGGGTATGTATGTATGTGCCTGTGCGGCCCGGCGTATGTATATGTCAGTATGTCTGTATGTAATGCGCGTGCCGTGTGCGTTTCTGGCATTGTTTGGAAAGCAAGGTGTGGAAGAGGATGGCTGAAGCCACGGGGCTTGCCGCACATATCTGCATTTTCATCTTGTACGGATGTACGGACGCCGTGCAATGAATGAAATTTCCCATTCAAGCTGAGCTCCGGTGTGCACAAGTTGTGCGTTGTGTTGCATGATGGCGGCGGTTGGGGAATATATATGCAGCACCTGTACGGCAGCCGTAACTGCAAGGAATTCGCGCAGTTCTGTGCCGTACAGTGCCCATGGACGACGGCGTTTGACAGCGGCCCCAGAGCGTGTGAGCGTGTGTGTATTCAAAACCCCCGGGGTCAAAACCCGGGGATGCCTAAATTGGACACAAGTATCTCCTGAAGACGTACGACGACCCGGGGGAGGTGGGGGGAAAAGAGGTGAGTGTGGCCCATGATGAGAAGGAGGGGGAATGGACGGATGGATGGATGGATGGACAGACAGACAAAAAACGCACGATTGCAAATTTCTTCAATTTCGCCAACTCATTGGCCTGTCTGCTAGTAGGTGCACAGTATATGTACGGCATATGTTGTCTTACACCCGCCGCGAAGGGTATGTGCGTGATGCGGCGGTCGTAGTACTCGCATTTCCATGGCAGATTTGGTCGTTATGGTTGTAGAGAAGTTTAACCGGGGGGGTCGGTTTCTTTTTTTTCTTTTTGGATCTGAGTTGGGAGAGGCCGTTATGTGTTTACTTACCAAATGAAAAAATAATCAGGATAAAAAAATTTAGAAAACCCAACCCAGCTCTACCGGGAAAATCCCTTTTAATCTTTCCGTTTGTTCACCGGGGCCTTCAATTCGCAGCGTGTTGCCAACAGCGACCAACATTCCCCCCAACGTTGCGCCCCTCGCGGTGTTTTTCTCTCGTCTCGGACAGATCTCGCGAGTCATCATCAGTGCCGTTCTTTTTATGTTTGTGTGCTCTTGAAGTCGGCACCGTACGGGACTTAACCCTTTGGGGTTTCGTCACGCAGGGCCCCGGAGGCGGTGTACACACACATGAAATGATTTCCAAATTGGTGGTGGTGGTGGTGGTGGTGGTGGTGGTGGTGGAGGAGGAGGAGGAGGAGGACTAGCGCCCCGCAGTGGTTGAGGTGAATATGTGTGGAAGGAGGGTTGGGACAAAAAAAGATAGACAACGTGTGGATCGGCCTGAGGTCTTCTGCATTGTGGCGGGGCATGTGTGTGCGTGCCATGTGTGTGTGTGTGTGCGTCCTGCGTTTCGCGCGCGCTTGTTTATGTATGTATGTATGTATGTATGTATGTATGTATGTATTCATTCGTGTGCGTGTGTATGTGTTACATATCAATCCCTGTGTGTGTTGATGTCTTCGGGGACATGTTGCCGTACAATAGCAGCTACTGGACTGACACTGCTCGCAAAGGGGGAATGCCATGCTTTGATACATGTGTGCTGTGTGTGTATGTGTGTACGGCACGGCTATGTGACTCCGCGCGCGTGTACGGTGATGAAAGGTGAACACACGAGCACACGAGCACTACACAGCACTACACAACAACAAGAAAAGAGGGGGTATGTTTGCGTCGTAAAATCTCTGTGCTGTGCTTTGAGCGCCGTCGGGATATGCCGCGGCTTGAATTGTCCGCTGAATAGCCTAAATAGGCGGGGGGGGGGCCCGGAAGCCGAATGCGTGGGGTGGGTGTTTTAAGCGCATGTCTGTATGTCTGTATGCATCTGCGGATCCAAACGTAATGTGCAATAATTCTTTCGATTTTCTCTTAGCTCTCATCATACACACATGATGATGGTGAGCCACGGTGGTTCCTCCGCATTGCTCATTCCTTTTCTCTATCTCATCACTTCTTTCAAGAAGAGAAGTGGAAACAGATTTAAAAATGGGGAAACGATGTCCACATCGCCTTTTTGTTAACGCCACCTGCGGAGGACTCGATTTGCGCTCACAGCTGGCAATGGACGCTACGGTCCGTACGCCGTACAACTCGTCGTACAAGTTTTAAAGTTCCTCTGCAGAGCATATTAATGACCAAAAGACATTTCGCAACTCACATCGTCAGCGGAACGACAAAAGGACCTGATGTTAAAAACAACAGTACGACAACAAACAACACGCTATAGGGGTCTTTTGTCTTTTCCAGTTAATACTTATCTTATGACGGATACGTCGCATGCAGATCTCTTATCACCATTCCTTTTTAGATACACCCCCCGGCAGCAGAGGCCCGGGCCCCGAAGACTGGCGTCTCTATTATTCACAGCGAGTTAATATGTCATCAATGGATGCAATCAAGTTTTAGTGCTGTACGCTGCTGTACTGTGGTTGGACCGTACGGATGCCGTACTTCTCCCTACAAAATATAATATCGACGACGATCCAACTGTTTTGAGGGAGTGACATTTTTGGGGGCCATGTCCACATTTTAGTCGTTGTTAGACATATGAATCGATGTCCGAAAGTAAAAATATGAACTTGGAAAGCACCTTGCCTTTTCAGTCATGTTCGATCACATTAATATACAGAGATTTTTTGGGAATCAGATTGCCACTGCTCCCTTTTGGTTATCCTTTTTTGGGTTTAGACGATTGATAGGCAAAAAGAAAACAAAAGCTAAAGGTTAAGTTTTGCTTTTGAGAAAAGCTTCCTTGTCCGTCCCTGCAGCAGGGGCGCGCACCGGTTCATTTTACAGAGGTTCTCGAGAATACAGAGTACGGCAATGCCGTACTACCCCCGTGGTGACTGTAACAAAACGTGTACATACATACATCCACATACATCACATGTGGCACTATGTGGCAATACACGATATTCTTCGACAAGGCGCTGCTGCTGCTGCTGTTACTGCTGCTGTTACTGCTGCTGCTGCTGCTGATAATGATGATGACTATGTGGCGATGTGTAATACCCCAGTCACACTCGTTCCTTATGCCGTCTGATGAGGCGATGTCCCCTTCCTACAAACATTGCCCGTCATATACTAATACAGACGGGCACACAATAAAATTCCAACGTATGCGGCAATACGCCAGAGCAAGTTATCGTCGTAGCATCACCAGGTCATCCCCTCCCCGCTGACGCAGCACTGTCTGTCTGTCTGTCTGTCTGTCTGTCTGTCTGTCTGTCTGTCTGTAAAAGTACCGATCGGCGGATGTCAGAATCCCCCGAATGATACGCCCTAACAGGATATAACATAACCCCTCCTATCTCTACTCCTACTCCTATTACTACTACCACCCCACATGCACCTCACCTCCATCACACCCACCGACTACCCATCACAGCTCGCTACCACCACCACCACCACCACCACCACCACTCAACCATATCCTCTTTGCCGTTCCACCGGTACACATACGGCCCATTCCGCCGGTATGTCAGTAAGTAAGCTCTTGTAATTCAGCCCTCGGATGCAGCAGGGTAGTTACCTCACTCGTAATTCTGTCGTACTGACCAAGTACTTGGACCATGCAGAAACGGGTTCACATGTAGGAAAGAACTCCATCACCCTACCGCGCACACTGCCGAGTCGTCCGGGCCCACCCCGCCCCAACACACCTCGCCCATCACGCACCTTTACACATACTGACATACATACACATACGCAGACACAACCTCCATCCCCATACGTACCCATATTCAACCAGGCAGCCTAACCATATTTTGTGTCACTTAAAACACACTTCGACGCGATACTGTCAATTACTTCGCTAGCTATCTGTATGTTGCCATTTCGCATAAAAAGTAACAAATATGAAGGCTTAAAAACTGAAAAGTGGCCCTTGGTTTCCAAAGCGCAACTCAAGCTGCTGGGCTTTATAAAACCCCCGTCAAGGAAACTTGCACACGTGTACGTTTCCGTACAAAAGCCGTACATGCAGAACACATAAACACACAAACTCCACAAAGATCTGTGGGGCAACACACAGACATACATTCATGCACACAAACACAAACACACACATATATACGTTCCCCCCTTTTTACCCCTCCACCCAAATCCTTAATGTCCGTTGCGCAAATTTGCTGTTCTGTTCCTGTTGTTGATCG